TTATGTAGAAAAGGGGAGTCCCTGGGCTTATTCTTGGAATGGAGGACCTGCATTTGGCTCTTTCACAACAAGTGGATGTACGCAGCAGGTAGGTATTCGTTGGAACACGCGACATACTACGTCATACTACCAAGTGCATTTGAAATTGTATCCTGATGACCCCGTTAGTTCTATGTATATATGTAAATTTGAAAGGAGCAACTCCCAATCCAAAAGGGCCAGAAAGCTGGTATTGTGCAGAGAGAAAAACTTTTGAAATGGCATCTCGGCAGCTGCAGCCACTTTTGGTTGAACACGTTGTTCTCACGAGCTATCGAGCTGGTGTCAAAAACAGTAACAGACACGATCGCGTATTGAAACAGAATCCAGTCAGATGAACACTGACCCCGTGCTTGATGTAAACGACGAGGTCGCTGTAAGTAATTAGACACAACTAGCCGACTGTACTTGTACAGCTGTGGACGACAGCAGGCTGAAAGTTCCAGTTCAAGTAGCTCCACCTCGTCAGACAGTCGAGAGTGAATGAACAGAGCGCATCAGCATTCACGCATGCAGCATGCCTTTATCGTGCAACACACCAAACTTTCTATGTGTCCCGAACCCTGGTAAAGCGATAGGGCAACAAACCGATCATGGTTCTTGGTTGTTGCAAACCATGATGCGTTTTGTTTGGGTAATTTTTGGAATCCCACTTGCAAGCCACAATCAACATGATGGAGCGGCTTGCCTCACAGGGGTTCAGATCCGAAAGTTTTTGAGGAGAATACATGATGAAATTACTGTACTCTTGTTTTTTGGGTGTGACTTGAAATGATCTAGAATTGAGTATGCGCTTAAACATAAAGGACGACAACACGGAGACGATGCATTTCATTTGATCATTGCAAGCGAGTTTGGAGAGTTTTCTTTTGGAATCAGGGTTTTCAGATTTGAACGCAAGCCGTTGCAGTGTACATGTTTGATTTCTTCCAGGGTAAAACTTGTGTTTATGCTACCAGTGTTTTGCAAATTATATTTGGGTGACGATGTATGCTGTATGAAATATCGAGATCAAGCCTTGCTGTCTGAAAAGCGCCCTTTCCAGCTCATATGAGCTGTTTTGAGCTCGCCTTTTTTTTTGGAAGCTGTTTGGTCCAAACCTCCCTTATCCAATCCCTCTCTTATTCTCTTTGACGCAAGGTTTTCTGGCGCCGAAGACACACTTCATTGTTCATATCTCAGTGGACTGCAGGATGACCAGATGGATGCTCAAGAAGCTAGTGCCTGAGTCAATGTCAAACTGAACCGACAGAGTTTCAAGCTGCTCATTGATTCACCTGGAAGGTTCGAGCCCATTTCAAGGGTGGCATCTCAGACATCGAGCTCTTCCAGTTCTTCCTGGATTCGGATTCGGACCCACAGCTGCTCGCAGTCTTGATCGTTGATAATGAATTGTTGATCATTGATGATGATTTGTGTGCACCGCATTTCAGCCTTATATAATATGCTGATCGCGACCTGCTGACCTACATCAACATGCAAGTTGCGAGGACAGATCTGGTGATGTTTCCTTGCAAGAGTATGTTGACTATGCGGCAATGTTGGGATAGAAAAGGACATGTCTTCTGAGACAATAAGCGCATGTCTTGCTGCAAACTCGCAGTTGCGTTGCAAGAAACCTGCTCATTGGACCTCAGCTCGTGTCAATGTATGTGGACTTGGCTCAAGCCCTTCAAGAGGGTGGGGTGGGCGTCGCTGGCGCTGTCCGGGAAAGGTGGGTATTTTGCCAACCAAGCCCACCAGCCGTGAAGACTCTTATGCTGGAAGCTCAGGACTCGAACAGCAAAATTCATTTCATTTCTTTTTTACTTGTATGGCCCATTGGAGTATATTGTCAGAAGGGCACAAGAAACCTTTCCAAAAGACTTGCAAGAGGCTTTCTTTAACTTGCTCTGGAACTAGAAACGCCGCGTAGCACAGGTCCTGATGTCAAAGAAGGTGGTGACCAAGAAGAAGGCACTGCGAGCCAAGCTCGGTGAGTCTTTCGCTCATTGAGTCCAAGCACACCACTTTCGAGCCCATGGGCCCATGACTTGCGTGGGCGCATGGGCCCAGGCTGTTCGCCTGGGAGTTGCTATTAGAAACAATGTTCGCTACTAGGAACAAGTGCATCGCTTCTAGTAACAAGTGCCTTACTAGTAGTAACAACAAGCTATTAGAAACAAGAAGCTTGCTATGCTTGAGCTGAAACCTTCTGCCGAAGAGTCCAGGCGCAACCGCCCGCTGTTCCTGGACTGCCAGTGAACGGGGCACAAGGCGGCGTATCTGCCTGGATCTCATCTAGCAAGTGCCAAGCCAAAACAGAAGACACGTTAAGATCGTTAAGTCTATGTACATCGTTTATCATTGTTTGGGTCTGACAGGATTCCTGGTTGCTAGCTTGCAGTTGTGGAGACCGTTCGTTCTCAACTGGCCCACTAGCTTCTGACGGCTCTGAATTCTAATCTGATCGAGCTGAGTGAGCGGTGCAGTCTCAGATCAAACATACAATCAGGTGGATATCCCAGATTTACATCCAAAGCATATGGAATCCATGATCGATGCATCGCACGATCGATGCATCGCACCTGGTCTTCTCCGCCCGACCATGCCTGACCCAATGCGACGGGTCCGACGCGGCCCGAGTCGACTGAGGCGCCGAACAAGACTCGGGTGGCCCAGCAACAGCGGGTCCTTGAGACGGCCGGGGGGCCGAGAGGTCGACGGCCGACCGGGGGTTCCGGTGACCGGGGTTCGGTGGCCGAAAAAGCAGTCGAGGACTAGGCATTTGTCCGTCCTGCCATCCGAGAATGTGTGCTCAGGTAGGCAAGCAGGATGGCAATGACAAGAGGCATGGACATGCATGGACTGTATTGGCAACGGCAACTCCAAGTTGTGTTGATTCTTCTCGTTTTCAAGGTATTCGCCGCGCACCGATGGCTTCATTCAGAAGCTGTCGACAGCTCAGCTGCCGAAAGGGCTTTGCAATCCCAGAATTCACGGAGCACGAATTGATACGAATTGAGGACTCCCGTCCTGGACTTTTACCAATACTCGGCTGCAGACATTGCCTCTCTGGTTCGAAAGTGTCACTACGATGAGTGCTCATCTGAGGCAACAATGCAAGTCTCAGAGCGAGTGCACACCATTCCATTTTGACTGCCGCTTTTCCTGATATGTCAAGTACTCTCTCCAAGGACACAAATTCAAATTGCCGTCGCCAACATCATTGAGGCAACTAATCATAAGACTCCTTGACAGTCAAATTCCATTCTGTACATCAAGTGTAACCATTTGTGGTGGCAAATATTTGAACATCCAGCGACCTTACTGGTAGGATAGAAACTTACGATATTCATGCACACGCTTGGTCGGCTCATCCGCAGGATCGTGCCAATCATGAGCAAGAACAATGGGGCACTGTGAAGAAAAAGAAGCAGGTCAAGGTGGGAATACCAAGACTCAGCGAGCAACTTTGTGAGCACAAAAAAGAGGGATACACGGATGCGTGCACGCACATATATTATATATACATATATAGTAGACATATATAATATACATATAACCTACATACATATATAATATGTATATATACACACATACGTCACATACGTGTATACATGTACATATGCTGCAGTCAGCGTCAAACGAAAGTAGGTATGGTCAATCTTGCAAGCATGAGCATGTTCTGTTCGGGGGTTACTGGCTTGTCCATTATTCCATCATAGCAAATGTTGTATACTTACAAGTGCAACACATATTTACCTTCCCAAAATGAATGGATGGTTGGGTAGTAGGGTAGGGACATTTTGGGGTTTAACATATGCAGGTGTTAACTCCTGATCTTGATGTGGTCCTCAGATGTTTAACCAGACTCTTTCGACGGTTGCGAAGAAAAGTTGAGAGAGAGTCTGTGGTGACATTGTCAGGTACCCTCATGTTTCATATATCCATATACACACATGACATGTGCATTTAGAGTTTGAAAAGAGGACAATCTTTGCCATTCTGAGGAGGAGAAGAAAATGAAGGAGGCTGCCCAGAAGAAGATCGAGGCTATCTCAAAGCTGTCGGTAGTTCACTGCATGGCCGGTAGTTTGCTACCAATGCCAGGACATGCACAAGGCCGAGGATGAAACAATCGGAGAAGTATCCAGGCTCACGAGAGAGGGCAAGAGAAGATGGAGAGTGGTCAGAGTCGTCATGTTGTTCCCTTTTGCGTCCAATGCGCTCCGCATCGAGGCCAGTGATCCAGGCGCTCCACATCAATCAAGCGAGCTGGTCGATTCACCGTTGCGGACAGTTGGTATGATTTTGTTTGCAGGAACAAGATGAATGGAGTACGGTCAAAAAGAAGAAGCAAGTGAAGGCCGCCTTCTGAGTTCTGCTCTTTTGACTCTAGACTTTTGTAATTTCAAGGAGGAGAAGAAGATCCAAGAGGAAAGGAAGATCCTGGAGGAGAAGAAGATCCAAGAAGAGAAGAAGATCCAGGAGGAGAAGAAGTTGAAAGAGGACGAAGAGAAGAGAATCAAGGCCTACTGCCTTGATTTGCTTTGCCCAAAAGTTGCACCCTACATGGAGTCCGGTGCGACTCACACGCACCATCCGAGCAAGGACCGTCAAGAACAGTTGGTGAAGGAGGAAATGGAGAAGCAGAAAAAACAATCCAACGAGAGGCCTGCTGAAGTAGGCATGTAGCGGCTACTGTAGCGGCATGTGGATTGGTGGTCTTTGTTACAGTATCTTTTCAACAAACACTGATTGGTGATTTTTCATGGCTTCTAAAGCTCCTCCTCCGGGCTGATGCACGCTGTCTTCACGAGGAAGGTGACCTCAGAGGGAGCGACCTCAACGCCGGCAGCGCCGGGTCCAGCGCCAGGTGCAGGTTGGTCCTAGTCCAGAAACCTCCGACTTGGAGAGTCTGAGAAGCACTGCCTATAGCGATGTTCATGCAAATACATTTCCACATGTTCACAGCCCAGATGGATTCAGGCGGAAAAGGTGCTGGAAAGGCTGGAAAGAACGGCTCCAAGAACGGTCATTTGGCCTTCACAGGCGCCGCCCGTTTCAGCGGTTGCTCCAAGAACGCCGTCCCGTTTCTGCCGCATTGGTCTCTGAGGCAAAGGAGGCAGCTCCACTGGCACGTCTCCGGTGTTAAAGCCCTCAGAGCCCAAGGAGAAGAGGGAAAAAGAGGGCAGTGGAGAAGAGAAGGAAGGGAAGGAAGGCGGCGATGTGAACACCTTGAAACACGGAGGCATCAGAGACATCCAATCACCAAAGCAGATTGAGCTGCTAGAACTTTGTCACAGATTGCCATGAACAACGAGTTAGTAGGACCCTTTGATCGTGTTCGAAGGCGCAGTCCTCCCGTCAGATCCTGCGATCTTGTTTTCCAGTCCGAAGCCTGAGGGTGAGTGGAAAGCTCAGTTGATGTCCTCAATGCGAACAATGTTCGATGATGTCTGGCTTGTTCAGGCATGTTCTTCAGTGAATGTGCTGAGCGGATAGGAACGTCTTATGAAAGGCATTCACGTTCGATGCAGGACTGAGCAGACCGGGAAGGAGACGGCGCCCTCTGCGCAGCCTTCACAGACCTCGCAGCCGGCCGCTAAAGCCGCGGCACCAACAGCCCCAGCAAAGCCAAAGGTCAGTGGCAGCGTTTGGAACAAACCACCAGGTTTGCCCGAGCCCGAGAAAGGCCAGAAAGAGGATTCTCCAACCCCAGCTGAATCCAACCCAAAGGCAGACTCGTCTGCTCAAAAGTTGGAGCGAAAGCCCCAGGGCGCCAAAGTGGGCGTACAGACCTCCCAAAGTCTCACCACCAAAGAGCCCAACGGCTCGTCCAACGGCTCTGATCGAGATCCCAAAGATTCCAAAGACAAGAAAGTTGGTAGATCTAAGCAGAGTGAGGAGAAGAAGGATGAATGGAAAGACAAGAAGGATGAATGGTGGCTTAGCTGAGGACATGCTACTCAACAAGTTAAGCTGATTTTGGCCACACTGGAGTAGCTAAGAAAATAGGCCATCACCAGTCTCCAACAGTGAGAATGTTTCTCTAGCTTTAGCCTGCCTGAGTTCCAAGCGCCTCTGAGGTGGGGTGAACAGAGCGACTCCAAATGGGTGCGCCATAAACCGTTTGATTTGCACAGTTCGATTCAGAGCCTTTGACCATCATTGATCCATTTGAAGTTGTTCCAAGCGTGGGTAGGCTGTTCGATGCTGTTGCCTTTGTTTGCCTTTTTTTGATTCTCATTTCCGCATTTTGGCGCCGCAGAATGGCCGTGGTTGGGACTGGAAGAAATGGAACGACTGGAACAGCAAAGTCTGGATCCTAGCGGTCCTAGGGCTCGTGGATGTGCTAAAGTTGGACCGGAAGTCGACCAGTTGACCATGGTCTTTTCCGTGTGAGGCCGATGGTGACTGGTGGAGTGGAGATTGGAAGAAAGGAGGCATTCAAGCATGGAACATGCCTTGGCTGACCACATGGAATTTTACTCCAGAGTGTCAGGTAGCTGGCAGTGGCAGAAGAAGAAGGAGGATTCACAAGGCCAAGCTGCGAGCTTTGTTGTGAGTTCACCACCAGTTTTGTTGGAGGGGCTGCAGCCCGGCCTCACTCCCTCAATTAGTCATGCACGCCACGTAAGTCGATTGATGTGTCCTCCTTTCTATAAGGGTGTCAAGCAGCAGCACAACCAGGCTATGTCTGAATGATGCTTCTGCAGCTGCTTTCCTTTTCTCTTTAAGAGAACAACTATTAGGTTGGAGGCCATCGCTAGTAGGTTGGAGGCCATCGCTAGTAGATTGGAGGCCATCGCTAGTAGGTTGGAGGCCATGGCTAGTAGGTTGGAGGTTTTTTGGCTTTGCTTACAGCCAAATCGAATCCGGGGATTTTTGTGTTTGTTGGGACGGGGAGCTTTGGACTGATGTGTACATTGACACGTTGGGTGAGAATGGTGATCTTGTACAAGTCTGCTTGCCCAATCATTAATTACAGACAAACAACATGGAATCATGAATTCATGACCTCTCCTGGATCTTGTTTATATTAACCAGGAAGGGAACTCCAACGATTATTCGGAGTCATATACCACTATGAAGGTTATGATATATTAAGATCCAGCTAAAGCAACTCACACATCGACTTGAGGATGGCAGCGGAAGGACAAGTCGGAAGCTGCCACCCAAGGCAGGAGCATCACATCGATCTCACCTGTTGGGCTCAAGGTAGTACTTTGTGCAGTTTTCCATTGGGTGCGTGGGCTCGTGCACCCTTCTGTTTGGCTTTGGAGCCCTGACAAGGGGTAAAGACTCTGCAGGATGCATCCTTTTCTGTGCGCAAATGCCTTGACCGTTGAACATTATGAGCAACTGCAGAAAGGTATTGGGGTTGGAAATCAGGAGTGACTGCAGACAGACCCGTGCAGGTGACAAGGATAAGTCCCAAGAAGCCACAGCTAGCAGTTCCTGAGGGACGTCTCACCACTCGCCTAGCTCAAGGGCATGGGCATCTAGACACACACGAAACGGACGACTCCGCACCTTACCATCAAGCGAGTCTTCGCGCATTTTGGCCACTTGAGCTGGACACGGACAGAGTCAGTAGAGTCAGGGTGTTGAGCTGGGGAATCAAGGCAGTGCTGAAGCTGCGCCGAAGTCCAAACAAGTCACAAATAAGAGCTCCTTCCTGAACAGCATTTTGCTTTTGCTTTAGCTTCCCAAGGTTGCCAGTGGTTTTAATCCTTTTCTAAGAAAAGGAGCAGAATTGAACTCCCTCTGTTTGCCAAAGCCTGACATAGAATATGTTTTAAACATGTTTTGCACTTGTTGACTTCATTCCGTGCACTTCTCACCGCTTAGCACGCGAAGCCGGGCCTATGAGCCAAGATGACTCCCCCTCAGCAAGTGCATTCGAGCACGCAGCAGACTCTCGCGTGTTTCAAACGCAGTTGTAGCGTGTTGTTGCGATTGTTTGAAGTCCAAGCTTGATCATGTTCAACTGAGTCAGAACGGTATTTTCTGATATTTTCTGGTTCAAGAAAAGGGGTAATGATACACTCCAAAGGAGCAAGATGTTGAACAAACGGTCTCTCTGTCTCTATACATACACATTCATATGTACACTACACACACACACACACCCTTGAGCTCTAGATGGCCTCAGAATGTAATTTCTTCAGACAATTCTTCTTAACATCCAAAGACTTTCCAGTTGCATCGAGTTGCGTTTTCGATGAAGCGTGTGCGTCCGGAGTCCGAACAAGTGGCCTCCTTTGACCCGGCCTCTGCACGGAAAGTGCACCAAAGTGATGATTTGGGAGTCACCTTTTACAAGTACCCACCCAATGCAGAGGTGAGTGTCCGGCAGTTTGAGGACTATACAGCCAGCCGATTGAAGCTTTTGCACGCCATCGACCGAGCATGCAACAGTCAAGAGCTCCGATTGGAACAGATGAAAGACTCCATCAGGCCGAAGCTAGGAAATGAGTTTCGGGAATCGGGCCTTGAGCTGGTCTACCCAGAGACGAAAGCCAGGATGGAGACCTTTCGATTGGAGAAAGTAGAGTTCCAAAGTCGGGACAGCATTTCCCATTTTGCACTCCGTTTGGCCTTTTGCAAGAGCCGTGATGCGCGAGAGTGGTTCCTCCGTCAAGAGCAACGGCTCTTTGTGCTACGTTTTGAAGCACTGAATGCCGAGGCTCGTGAGGCCTTCTTGGGATCCGAAGGAATTGAATGCAACAGGTTCGTGGAGACAGAGGGCGAGAAGATGACCTTGAAGATGTTGCAGAGATGTACTCCTGGTGCAAAGATATGGGTGGAGAAGAGTGGAACGAAGGTACCGGAATTCGACCAGACGTTCTATGTGATGCCCTTTCGGGCGGTGCCGGAGAAGTTAATCTCGGGCCGCCGGGTGGTGTTGCAGCGTGGGAAAGCCTACGTTCCAGCAAGCCTGCTGAAGCTGGTGATCACGAAGCGCTTCAAAGAGAACTTGGCTGAAGCTCTGGAGGTGGCATTCCACGGTCAACATGCTGCTCTCATGGATCCGAGGGTGGGTGGTTTTCTGCGAGTCTTGCAGGACTATGGATTGCAGTTGGTGGCAGGTCCGCGCTCATCCTCCGAGGAGCCTAGGGAGAAGCTGTCATTACAAAACTTTGAAGAGCTTTTGCCGCGCTCCTTCCCGCCCTGCATGCGACGACTGGTGGAGAAGCAACGCGAAACCACGAAGCACTTGAAGCATGCTGGGCGGTTGCAGCTAAGGCCCTTCCTCAAGGCTTGTGGATTCACCTTTGAGGAGTCCTGCCAGTGGTGGAAGAAGGAGTTATGTCGAGATCCATTGATCACCAGCGAGACCTATGAAAAGAGCTATCACTATGACAATGAGCATGCCTACGGCAAAAAGGGTCATCATCAGGGGCAAAACTGTTTTGGATGCCCGAAGATCATTGGTTCGCCAGGAGAGGCACCTGGACAGGTTCACGGTTGCGTCTTCAAGCAGCTCGAACCCTCTGCTTTGCAAAACCAACTGCAAAGATGGCAAGTGCCCTTACCTGCGATGATGGAAATCCAGAGGCTCATCAAGGAAGGCAAGCACTACCAACTTGCTTGTATCGAATACTTCAAGTCGCAGCACCCCTTGAGCGATGGGGAAGGGGTGGGCAACTCACCAGTGGATTTCTTCCGAAGTAGTGTTCGCTTTCACAAGGAGAAGGAAAAGGAGAAGGGGACGACGAGCCCTACCAAGGAAGTTGCGGCTGTGGCGTCCGAGATGCCACAGGCGATAGCGGCGGCATGAAATTCGAACATGGTCGCATAGAGGCAGTGATGGAGATGAATGGAGACCCATTCATATCCTGCTTGAAATGCTCAGAATCACTTCCGGTTCAGGGTTGGGTGGGCAAGGAAGGCAGCGCTGTGGTCATCCAGTGACTGCAATGTGCTTCTACTCCTGGGGCGAGAAGAGGCTTTGGGGTGAGCCTCGCGAAGCAAAAGAAAGGGGTGGAAAAGGCTGCCTTGGCCGTGACTTTTCGTGACCCCAGTGGGCAACTTTCAACTTCAACTGGCAGCAAGTGTGCCTCACTGCGATGTGCTCATGATCATCACGATCATCATCATGACCATAATATAGCAACAACAATTATATAGAGTATAACAAAAGTCATCACTTCAACTCACAGTCTGATTAAAACATGCACTTGCGGCTCTAGATCAGTGACGGGGGTGCCGGGCCGCCCCAGCTGGACCGACCAAATTCTTGGAGGTGCCGGCGATGCGTTCGATGCGACTCGACTTCCCGCACATGTGAAATCAGAGGAGTCTCATTCTCTCTCTAGATATATGTATATATATATATATGCTACCCCCCGCCAATGGACCTACCCTTTCCTAGTTTGGGCAGACGTTGGTTGTGGATTAGTAAGAAGCAGATACATGTTGTAAATGGTTTTGCAGATCTATTGACTTCAAATTTAGATCTAATTCAATTCTATTTTGAGTGAGTGTACAATTTAAACATTTTTTCAACCAAATTGAACTGAATTTACAAAATAAACACTCTAATTATTACCTTAATTCTATTGAACTCTATTTTTCTTTAAGTCTAACTTAATTCTAAATTTGGAATTTAAAATTCGGTTTTGACCCTGGTTGAATTCAATTTTGAATCTAATTGATTTGAAATTTAAGTTTAGTTTCAATCTGCAGTTTGATTTTAATTCAATTCTAACTGAATTTGAATCAGTTCAAATTTAGTTTTAGTGTAAATGTCATTTTGACGTTAATTTTCATTCAAGTCTAATTAACAGTTTATCATTTCAGTAATCTAATTCTAACCGAGCAGCAGGTTAAGTAATTCTATTTCAATTGTATCTTCATTCTAACCCAATGTTAATTGAAACAATGAAGTTGTTATTCAATCTTTGTTTTAATTCCAATTCAACGCTAATTTAAGCCTAATTTAGTTTTGTTTATACTTCAAATTATTTGTGATTAAGTTTTAGTTTCAGCTAGTTTAAATCTTATACATTTCAATTTCAGTTGTTTACAATTCTAGTTTAATTCTATCTTGATGTCTATTTGAAGTTTGATTGATTCTAATCTAATTTTAATTCGATTCTAGTTCAGTGAAAATGATGTCTAATTCAATGCAAACTAAAAGAGGGTGTTGCTCAGGGTGTGGTTTTAAGAACAGAACCTTGAAGAAAGCAACACAGACATTATATACAAAGCATTCATTAGCGAACTAGAATTGCATAAAAGCCAAAGGTAGATTAGAAAAAACGAGTTTAATTTGTTTAAACATAAACTGCATGGAAATCAAATTGAATAGACGTATAATTTCAATAGAAATACAGCTGCATTGAACTCTAGTTAAAAGAAGTGGAATATGGAAGTTGCTCAACATTAAAACTCAATTGAAGCTGGGATCAAAGAAGTTCTACTTGAATCTTGAATCCTGGGCTGGGAATCCAAACAGTTCTATTTGACTCTTGACTCTTGAATCTTGGGCTGGGGATCCAAGAAGTTGTATTTGAATCTTGAATCTTGAATCTTGGGCTGGGGATCCAAGAAGTTCTAGTTGAATCTTGAATCTTGAATCCTGGGCTGGGGATCCAAGAAGTTCTATTTGAATCTTGAATCTTGAGCCCCTGTACTTTGTACAAATTTGGTCAAAGAAAAATTGCAATTTCTTGCAGTTTTTTGCAACCTGCAAACAAATCATAAAAGCAAGTTGCTTGAAGCAGGTCCAAGATTGTGGATTAACCGCAAACCTCCAAAATGTTTCAATAAATCTGCAAATACCATTTAAAAGCTAGAAAGAGGTAGGTCTATAGTTTTTTTTTGCATGCCTTTTCTGAAGTGCTAGAAGGTGCGGCTATGCGAAAAAGGAGCGGAGATCTTGTGATCCCTGCAGCTGACAACGCTGCATCATCCGCTCGGGAACCTCAAAGCGGCCTTCCACGACCTTGGCTTTGCCATGACATCGAGTGCAGGTGAGCTTGCTTCCGCATCGTTGCACTCGATGGGACGGATGTCCTGGCCACTTTTCAGCTGCAACCGGACCTACAATGCAAGGCTCCTGCAGCCACTTCTCAAAGGTCTCAAGGGCCGATCTGGCCAGTCTTACACTGGCAGCAACGAACATAGGCGCGGTCAAGGGTGATGTAGTGCTTGCCCTGCTCTGGCGAGGTTTGAGCTTGAATGATGTCTTTGATGACTGCGATGCGCGTTTGCGCTTGATCGGCTGGCTGACTTTCGCGAGACAATCAGCTGCCAAGGCATCACGCAGCTCCTGCACGGGGCTCTTGGTGTGAAGCCGCTGTATGCAAAGCTTGCAAGCCACTCCAGTGCGGAATGGAGCCCAACTATGACCATTGAGGTGAGGTTGAGCCAGGAATTCCTGTACCAGCTCGCTCTTCTGCTGGATGAGAGGAACTTTGCTAGAGGGCGAAGATCTTCACCTTTGTAGAAGTAGTGATTCTTGTCACGGAGGAGGACTTCGATCCTGTCAGCTCCTGCCAACAGAATGGCTTCAGCATCTTCATCGATGTTAGCCTGCAGGTCCAGGATGGCAGTGGGCTTGTGGCGCTCAGCTGCCTGCTTTGCCACTTTCAGCGTTTCCTTCTGCAGGAGGGCCCGAAGCGGATTGTCTTTGAGCTCCTTCTGAGAGAAGAGGAGAGGCCGGATCATGTCAAAGTCTTCGAACTCAAGACCTTGATCTCGTAGGCCTTGTATGGTGTCCAATGCTTCCATACTTGATGGTCATAGATGGCCACTTGAACTTTCTCGGAGACATGTAGAGCCAAATGCTTCAAGGCGTAGAACAATCCTCGGTGCTTGGTGGCCTTGCCCTTTCAGACGCCGGTCAGGGAGGAGATCATGGCTCGATCAGCCAGTCGGTGGACACAGATGGCAAAGCAGAACTTCCTGTGCCTGGCGTCATTGCACGTGGGTGCCAATGCAATGGAAGAGGCATGCCCCTGCCCAAAGGAGAGCGTCTCCTGGGTGCCAGTGTCCTTCGCCTTCAAAGGAGCCCATTCCAGTTTCAACCTGGTAGAAGATGGATTGGACCATTCCCCTGTTCCAGAGCTCGGTGCCATGGGCCAACCGCTCTTGCCATTGTGTTGGAGCTCTTTGACTCTGCCCTTCCAGTACTGACGCTCCCAAATCAGGTGGACGAAGGTCAAGTCCTTGTCACGCAACGGACATTTTCCTTGTTGACCATGAAGAGTTCCCTGGTGGAAGGTCCGGAGTGCAGTTGCTGTCTTGTCACTCGTGGTTTTCTGCAACTTCCAGCTTACTGTCCAGTCCAATTGCTTTCGAGGTCGTGGCAGCCCTCGTACCTGGTCAACCGCAAAAGCCGCTGCCAGCGAAATTCTTCATTCAGCTTCTGGAGCAAGACCGGCCAGCAATCTTCGAGGGACAGATGACAGTCGGGTATGCCGCCATAGCCGGTGCGTGTCCATTGCTTGCCGTTGGAGACGTCAAAGTCGTAGTCCAGCAAATAGGCCTCCAGAGCTTGCAATGGTCCAGATACAACCTGCCAGCGATATTTGACCTTGAGGAGGGCTCCAAGGGCTGTGTTCCAGCTGGTCCAAAAGAGATGCTGTGTCCCTTCAGGGAAGGCATGATACAGCTTCCAGACCGTGTGGATGTGCTGGCAAATGATGGAATCAGCTGGATCCGGCAACTTGGGATGAAGGTCGAAAACCACATCGACCGAGCCACTTCGCTGCAGCCGGAGACCTCTTGCGGCCAATACCCTGAGCTTTTGCCGTCTTTGTGGGGGCAATCCATTGGCTTGTGCTCCCCACGTCATCACTGGGTGGATGGCGCCTCTGTGCAACCTGTATTTGGTAGTAGGTGCCAAGCGCAAACGATGCGCGATCCCATTTCTGCTGCTGCCCCCTTGGCGAATCTCTGCATGACCCGTCGCCGGCGTGTGAGGGTGGCATCAACTCCTAGGTCTCGTAGGACATCATAATGCTCAGGATCATCTGGTGTCAACAGCTGTTGAAAAAACCTTGCTGACTTCTTTGGTGCTAGTGATGAACCCAGTCTTGTCGGTGTTGATGCGTAGGCTGGCAGCTTCAAGTTCAGCTCGAAGGGTGCGAAAGGCCAGAAGTGCTTCCCTGGCCACATATGCCGGATCCCTACCCTGGATGTCATAGGAGACGTCATCAACCAAGGTCTGGAGCGAGACAGCCGGATGCGTTTGAACCAGTTGCTTGAGCGGCCTGTAAAGGATGAGCTTGGAAATGGCGGGTGCTTGTGGGCATCCCTGCAAAATTCCTCTCTGATAATGTTTGGGATCACCACTGATTCCTTCAGCCTGAATCGTCCGCCGACCAGCGTAGAGATCCAGTGCGAATTTGAGGTGCAGAGCCGGATACTGCAGAGCTCGAGCAGGCTCAATGATGTGGTCTAAATTGACCGTGTCGTAGAAGCATGAGAGATCAGCCAGGCAGGAAACAGTGTGTAATCCTTGGTGCTTGGAGATCTCAGCCTTGAGCATGCGTCCAATGGCAATGGACAAGCAATCCTGTTGTGGCCTGGCTTTGTCCCAAGGTAGCTCTTCATCCAGAGTGAGCTGCCATGTGTGTAGGTCTTGCTTCCTATAGCGATTCCAGACCCGGTACAAGCAGGACGTCAAGGCAATGGGCCTTTCCACCTTGGTGTTCTTGGGGATCATGACAATACTGGTGACAACTGAGTCGGAACGGTGGCTGTGGACTCCATCTCGGTGAGAAGCTGCGCCAGCCTGTTGACTGCCGGGTAAGGCATTTAATGCCTAAGGAAGTCGTAGGAGATGCCATCAGGTCCTGCTGCCTTGTTGGGCAATTTGCGTAGAACTTTTTGGAGGACACTGGAGTCGATGGGTGGCGTCCCAATCGCATGGTGGACCGCTGCTGCTTTGAGAGCTTGATATCCTCTGATATGGCATGGTCCCTCTCAAAGCCACCATATTTCTCCCCACTGCTCTTCCCGTGCTCTGAGGCGGTCAAACGCCGGAAGATCTTGAAATGGGTGTTGCCAAGGGATATCCCGCTGCCTCAGCTTCCTGAAGAGTCCTCGAAGGCCTTGTGTGTGAGCCTTCTCTGGCCAAGCTTTGAACTCGACATTGCCAGTGCCTGAAGTTCTTGGTTGTGGATGTAGCCCTTAATTTCCGTGGGATCATTGTGAGGTGCTTTGATCCAAGTCCGAAGGAGGGTGGCAAAAAGATCCTGCTCCATGTCCTCGGTGGCATTGGCCGACAAGGTGTTCAGCATGCTTGCCAAGTCTGAGGCGACTTTCTTGTGTGAGGTTTGATGGAGTATGTTGACCCTGACAGCCATCCTTTCCCAATAGGCCAGTTGCCCTTTCTTCCATACCTGCGGCCTGATTTGATCAACCAAAGGAGCAGAACACCTCCAGCTCACTGATGAGCACGGTAGAAGCGGGGCCATACACTTGGGGTGTGGCAGCGAAGTTCTTGGGATGTTGACTATATGGCCGATGGTCTGCCGGGTCTTCAGATCATGTGGCCATGAAATCTCACTGTGGTGGTTGCTTTCACTGTTGGCTCTTCCAACTTTGGATTCCAACACGTCAGAAGAGATTTGACCCATTTTGGCAATGTCGTGTCGGCGAAGCTGCTCACCCAGGCCCTGGCGGCAGCCGTCGAACCAAGCGAATGCGCGAACAGAAGACTAGTGGTGCTTTTGATTTGGGCGGTCTTGATTTGCTCCCTCTTTTGCGACCGGCCATTGAAAAGCTGCTTCGTGAGTTGCTTAACGAGTTCCTGAGTGGTGATGGATTGGCTCGCTTGCTGGGGTTGCAGGCTGCTGCCAAAGGAGAGTTGCATGCTCCACCAGTCAAAGAGAAGAAGCCACGGAAGCGTGGCAAGAAGGCCCACGCTCCTAGTGATGCCAAGTCGGCTAAGCCCTCGGTTGCTCCGGTGATTGCTCCAGCGAAGCCTGCAATTGCCAAGCCTCCTCCTTTGCCGCATGATGCTGATGGTGAATGGATTGAAGTGAAGAAACCTGTGAAGCAGACCCCTTGGGCCCTCCGTGCCCAGGATTGGGACAGTCCTCTCTGTCCTCTGGATGAAGTTTGTAAGAAGATTGGTGAACAGAAAGATGAGTTCAAAGCCGTCATTCTGATTCCCAATGGAGAGCAGAAGATTGTGGTCGAGAACATGCTGGCCGGTGGCGGTTTCAAGTACGCCGTGCTGCTTGTGGTTTTGAGCAAGACAGAGGGCATTTCAACCGCACGTGTTCCGGGATTGTGTGGTGCCGGGTTTCGTTTCGAGATGCCAGTGTAATTCAGTATTGCTCTCGGGGTTTGGTTGCGCCGCAACCAAAGGCGATGCCTAATGCTGTCTCAGTTGAGAGTCGCCCCAGTACAGTTGTGCTTTGCAAAATTTGCAAACCCTTTGCTTCCTCCGATGAGTGGAAGAATGCGGAGCGCCGCGCTCAAGCGGCTCTGACACTTTGGGCCCGTTCTCATAAGTGCGCAATTTTGGATACTTGGCGTTGGCAACGTGATGGGCGCGATTCACATTGCCGATATGTGGGCTTGGCCCGTGTTCCAAACAATGAAGTTGATTTGCTTTTGGGCGCCAGCGGTTCAGCTGGTTGGTTTGTTGATGCATTCAAGACTACTGCTTGTTCCCCTTGGCAGATTGAATGGCAACAGCGTGAAGATGGTGAAGACGATGTGCAATACTTGCATCGCCTTAGACGGTCGCATTGCAATTTGGGAATTGCTGCGGGGACTAGGCATCTCGGTCTTAGACACTTGCGACAAGCTGATGCTGAGGTGACTCGCACTTGGGTGCTTGAGCATGTGCCCGCTGAATGGACTTCCGATGATGTTGTCAATTTGGTGAAGGCCTCCTTTAGCAATGTCTACATGTTGAGCCGACGGCGTAGTGGTCGCAAGCTTTGCGATTTCTTTTTCCGAGCGAGTGCCAAAGCAGATTTGGACTTGCAGCCATTCGTTGTTCAGCAAGAAGGTGGGAATGTGACTTATTGGGCTAAGCATCACATTTCCAAGCCATTTGTTGCCAAAGAGACAAAGAGTCTTCCTGCGAATAGATCCATGGATCTTCGGGTGAAGCAGGGCAATTGTGTTGTCACCAAGGCGGTCGCGACCTCCTCGGGTGAAGGGGGTGAGTCGCAGCAGCCTTCTGAACGTGAAGACAAGAAGGATGCAAAGAAACAAAAAGTTCTTACTGCCGCCCCCCTAGTGGTTTCACTTTGGTGCCTCAGCCTAAGGATGGTGCTTGCTTTTATCATAGTGCTGCCAAGGGTTTGGCGTTGTTGGATCCCCCGATCAATAAGTTGCCATTGGAGCTCCGCGCCATCACGGTTGAGCACATGCAGAAGTATTCAAAGGAATATGCTCTCGATTGGGATGGATTTGGTCCTGATGGGAAGACCAATTGGCTAACTTCGATGAGTATTTGAAGAAGTGTGTTGCCTCTGATGCTTGGAGCTCTACATTGGAGATCAAGGCGTTGTGTCGGAAATTTGATGTGCGCTGTATCCTTTTTTCGGATTCTTGTGGCGTGGATCCTGTTCTTTTCCATGGTGATGGCAAGCGCGGCTACTTGTGTTTGTGGCATAGTGGCAGTTGTCATTTTGATTTGTTGACTGGTGGCAATCCGAAGAGTGTTCAGACACGCCCCTATAGGGGGCTTGATGACATTGTTCGAGGCGGAGGTGCTCATGATTTTGATGATGCGGCATCTTTTCAGACGGTCTGGTCTGCTTCTGGTCGCAATTCTTCTGGTGGCACTCAGTGGACGGCAGTTCAGGATGAGCCTGCTCCAGCGGTTGTGACCCCTTTGCCGAGTTCTTCCTGCTCACCACAGTATTCCTGTTTAGGAGGTCCTGTGAATCCCGGTCGGGGGGTCCCTCCGTCTGAAGGGCTTGGGGAACAAAGTGGTGTGAAGACTGTTTGGACTTCTTTACCTGCCAACAAAGATGTTGTTCGACGTCGGTTGCATGGAAAATGCCATGCGCCTTGGTTCAATGATTGCAAGCGCTCTTCCTTTTCTGTGGAGGCCCACAGTGCCGCTGCAGATTTGGGCGATGATGATCTTTGCATCGATGATTTCGTTGAGGACACGACTGGGTTGAGCAAGCGTGAGCTCTTTCACCGTCGTGGCTCAAAGTTTGCGGTTGATGCCAACATTTTTCGTTGGAAGTGTGATGTGTGCCCTTTTGTGATTGAAGCCAAGCATCATGAGGCGGTTTGCAAAGCTCGTTACCATCACAACAAAAATGCCCACGGTGGGGCTGGGCAACCGGGGCGCCTTTCCCGCCCCAATGGTGTTGTTGCGGAAGGTGCTGAAGGACCCCTTTTTTGGCGATGTCCCTTGTGCAGTTTTGGTATTTCAGCTGAAATGCGAGCCAAGATTTCTTTTCGTGTCTATATGGAAGAGGTGAGGGGTCACAGGGCCTCCCATCACTCCAAGGTGAAGCTTGCTTGCTGACTGGAACCGTATGAGCCGTCAGCAGTTTATGACACCTGAGCTTCGGTTGAAGCGTCGCGTTTCCATGTTGAATGCCAACGTTGCGAAGAGCAAGAAGAAACTGTCTCCCGAACTTGCTGCTCATATGGTTAAGTTTTCTTGGCCTGAGGTGCGCATTCGTGACGGCCGTGAAGCATTAGTGATCCTCAATGCTTGGCATTGCAAGAAGTGTTTTCGTTCTTTTCGAGGTGCCGCTGTGGCCAGAGATCATGTTTGCAAAGCTGAGGTGGGTCGCCGTGATGTATCTAGCATTGTTCGGCGTCTGGACTGCGACTTGGTCAAGAGCCAGCAGCTTCAGCATGGCTTTGGACTCGGGTCTTTTCCGGGTGGCCATCATCTCGCGGTGCCCCATTCGTCAAGTTTTTCTTTCCAATATTTCTTCCAAAGATCGGTACTGTGCTGGAGTCATTGAAGTTGCTCGTTCTGGTGGCATTGAGAAGATTGTGATTTGCACTATCTATGCCCCGGTCGGTAATGATTCTTTGGCAGGCTCTTTGACATCTGAGGTTGTTGCTGCTTTGGCTGTGCTGACAGATCAGTGGCTGTTACTGGGCGGTTTCAACACGACTCAGGATAGCCCTGGTGTGGGAAAATTGTTGTCTACTGGAGCTGCTTTTGCTTTGGATGAGGCCTTCGAAGGCCAGGGTGAGTTGCCGGGTACTTTCTCGGAAAATAGACGCATCGACTTTGGCTTGTCCAGTCATCGACTACATGCCATTGAAATTGACCATGCGCCTGGAGTTGGTGATCATCTGGCGGTGCGCTATCAGTTCAATTTTTTGCTTGATTTTGAGAGCTGTCGGCAACCACGCCGTTCAACTTCTTTTGCATCTGACAAAGAGGTTGGGGAGAGGTTTCGTGATTGTTGGTCCGCCTCCTCCTTTGAGGCAGCTCTTGAGCGTGATGTGGATGAGGCCTGGCAAATTTTGAGCAATTGTGCTGAGCAGTCTATTTTTGCTGGATTGTGCTGGCGCTACGCTCAGATCTCAGTTTTGGTCTCCTAGAGTGGTGAAACCAAGAAACAAGGGTACAGTTTTTGATGGAGACCCTCACAATGTTCGTCTTCATCGGCTTTATCGACGTATGAAGCACTTGGCAAATTTCCCTCTTGATGACAAGCTTCGAGAGAAGATCCATCGTGATGTGTGTGCTTTGACCACATCCTTTCCTGCTCTGAATGCCATAGGCTATTTTGACGCAGAACTGCATGTTGAGTTGGTTGCTGACATTGTTGGTCATGCGGCTGAAGCTTACAAACATTTCAAGTTGCAGGAGTGGACTGATCGGTTGAAACCTGATCCTCAGAGGCAGGGTGCATGGCTCAAGAAGAAGTCCAACGCGGCTTGTGAGTTTGACTCGGCGCCCCAGGTGCCTGTTGCTCCTGCTGAATTCCATGGTTGGGCTGTTCATCCGGTACATGTCATCAGCGCTGCCGAGGCTAAGTGGACCCCTCATTGGACAAGTCAGGCTGCGCTTGAGAGCGCTGAATCAGATGCCAAGGTGAACAACTTGTTGGAATTTGTGCCTAAGCTCGAGAATGACGACATACTTAGCATTCAGTGGTCCGGTGCTGCCTTGTTGCGCCTGGCCCGTCGCATGATTGGCAAGGCTTCAGGCCCTGATGCTTGGGAGGCTGCTCATTGGTTGTTACTGCCGACAGAATGGTGGGATGCCTTGGCTGCTCTTTGGCAGACTATATGGACCACAGGTCGCGTACCTGCTTTGTGGAAACGTGCTCGAGTTAGTTGCGTTCCCAAACCAAATGGTGATTCACGTCCCCTTTCTTTGCTGTGCTTGGGATGGCGCATTGGAGCGAAACATCTCACTCGTGCTTTGAGAAGCTGGGCAGAGACTTGGTTGGGTCATCAGATTCTCGGTGGTGTTCCTGGCCGCGGCGTTCGGGACGCCCATTTGCGGCTCTGGTTTGCTAGCCAGCCGCGCAACAATGTTTTTGTGGCTCAAAATTTGTCTCGGTTCTTTGATAGCATTTGTGTTCCACAGCTAGGTCAAGTTCTTCAGCATCTAGGGGCTCCGCCCCAGTTGATCGGGTTGTTGTCAAATTTCTACCAGGGAAGTGCTCGGATTTTTTCTGCAAAAGGCATAGTGGGTGACAAGTGGCATCCTGTGAGTCGTGGCTTAGTTCAAGGGTGCCCTCTATCTCCTTTGATGGCCGCGGCCGTGATGCACGTTTGGGTTTGTCAGATCTCTAGGGCTGATGTCAATGGCATTGCTTTTGTGGATGATAGAACGTTCTGGAGTGATTCTGCAGATCGGTTGACTCGAGCTAAGCACTATAGTGACCTGTTTGATGAAGCTTTCGGCTTTCATTGTGCGCCTAGCAAGTGTCACATTGCATGTCGGAGCGAGTTGGAGGTGGGCAAGGAGGTCCAGCATGCTTTTGGCTACAGCTTGGGTTGCCGCCTTGATGTTTTAGGTCTTTGCTATAATTTGGAGCTTGGGACGCTCCCCCAGTTGTCTCGCCTCAATATTGCCAAGGCTCTCACTAGGTTGCGGTTCATTCGAGCAGTTGCAGGCACCTTCTTTCACAAGAACCTCCACATTAGGCGCTTTGTGTTTCCGCTTTTCACTTGGGCTGCTGGACTATGTGAGGTTCCTGCGGATTTCTTGCAGTCCATGCAGGAAGGAGTGCGACATGTTTTCGAGGCCCGCTTCATGGCTGAGGCTGCAGGAAGTGGCAGGGTGGGACAGCGACCCTGTGTTTGCTGGTGAGTGGGCTTCTTTAGTTGCAGGCCTTCGACATCATTGTAGTAGTTTGCCCTGGCAGGAACTTCTTGAAGTTGAGTTTGCTGTTCAACCATGGCATCAGCTTATTCCTGGTGTGAAACCGCTCCTTGATCATCTTGGCTGGTGGGTGAGTCGCGATGCTTCTTGCATTTGTCGCCTAGATTCTGCCGGCCATGAAAGACGTTTTCAGCTTGGGTGGGACCCACCAGCAATTCTTCATGAATGGCTCTGTGACTTTCACAGACGTGTTGCTTTGAAGAAATGCAATCGCATTCGGCGTTCCTTGCACAGAGAGGATCCTGGTCTTCAGATTGCTGGAGGTTTAGATCTGCCTGGCGCTCAACCTGGCGACATGTGCGTCTTTGCGGGGCACAAGTCAGCTTGAGCCTCAACCGGCTCACGGTTGCTGCGCAACGCTTCCTTAGCGACCGGCTGCTCTGTTTGGTGGAAACATCACGACTGTAATAACTTTGCTGCGGATGATCTTAGATGGCTTTGCCCTTGCGGATTGAGCAAACCGAGTCGACCCCATTTGTTGTGGAATTGCGAGGCTATGCGGCATCTTCGTCCGGCTGTTGCTCCCCCGACCAATCGGGTCGAAGAAAGATTGATGGCCAGAGTTGTTGCTGAGAGGCCCCTACCTCCAAATATTCTTCAAGATCCTAGCTGGGTGGTTTCCATTGCCAATGCTCTTACTGAGGCCATTCAGGGTGGCCCTTTGATCCCGGTGGCTACTGACGGTAGCTCAAAGGATGCTGTGGGTGCTTGGAGCATCATTCTTCCTGGTGTTGACAAATCCTTTGCTGGACCCTTGTGGGGCGAGGATCAGGGTTCCTTTAGAGCTGAAGTGATTTCTATTTGGTTGTTGCCTCGGGCATTGCTGTCCTTGAATCCGGTGTGGCCTGATAAGCTTCAGATCTACATCATATGTGATTGTACCGCTGCTCTTGCAACTCTTGAGCACGGAAGCTCTTCTGTTCCTCTTTTGGGACGTGATCTTCTTAGAATGACATCGTTGTGTCGGGAACGGCGCATTGAGCTGCACACTCAGTGGGTTCCGGCCCACGATAGACACGTCCCCCTGTGGAAGCCTAGTGGCCCCTTCGATGAGTTGTGTTTGAGGCGCTGGAACCGATTGGCTGATCGAAAAGCCCATTCCGAGGCCTCACGGTGGCTGTTGAATTCCCAGCGAGCTGTTTGGTCTCGCCAGCGCTCTGAGGCGCAGCGTTGGGAGGATGAGGTGATCCAGGCGATGGCTAACATTGCTAGCCACTATGCATCCCTCTGAACTTTGAGTTGGTACATCTAGGACTTTGGCATCCTGATGTTTCTACAATCTTCATCTTCATCAGTGGCGGGCTTGTGCAAGTTCTGCGTGATCGAGCGAGATCAGAGCCAAGGCCAGTGATCTGGATGCCCGCAATGGAAAAGGGTCCGTCAACTTCAGGAAAGGTACTCCAACAATGTGGCATTGCAAAGACCTTGCCAATGGGAGGAAACCTCTGTAGCTGCTGGACCTCAACATCTGGAGTGTCGCAAGAGAGAGTGACCGCCAAGCCACAGTGAGGTTTTCACGGTACTTCCCATTCCGTTTGGAGTTGGATGGAGCTGACCAAAACGTTGGAAACCAGCAGGTAGTCCAGCTGTGATCCATGAAGGGTCGTTGGAGCACCTGTGTCAACAATCTGGAACTGAAAATTGCTCATGATGACTGTAGCAGCCAGGGCATCCGGGGAGTTCTGCCAATCTCCTCCAATGATGAAGGGCACGTGAGCATGATCGAGGATGAGCTTGTCTGCTCGCTGAAGACCGATAGCCGTCCATCCATTGCCCTCCTGTGTGTAGGTCTGGATGTGATGCGTCAAGTGCTTCTGCCCGTGCAAGGTGATGAAGCCGCCTGAGGTGCCTCCATTGCCGGTAGGGTGAGCGGCGACCCCGTAGGCTCTCCAGCCACGAGTGTTGAAGTATTGGAGAGCAGTCTCCATGGTCTTGGTGCCCATATGCGTTTCTTGCAGAAACACCAGGTGGTTGGGCTTGGTCCAAATCCAATCTTGCACCTTGTGTCCAAACTGCGTGACATTGCCGAAGAAGAGGTTCAGAGTCTCACAATGACCTCTAGATTTCTTCAGGACCGGTTGCCAGGCCTCAAGGGTGTCCGGAACCAGTTCATCCGCTGCCTCCAACACCAGCCAAACCTGAACGATCTGGCGTTGGTGCTCTTCAGCCAGCTGTGGCAGGGGAGTCGGATATTGGTCATCATCAGCATACCAGTATCATCATACCAGTCCAGCTTCATGTCCTTGTCCTTTGTGGAGTATGAGGCTGATGACCTTGTGGGCAGCCATGTGGACATGACTGCCATCCTCAGAGAAAGGAATACGAACTCGCACAGGAATCGCCACTGGTTGTTCGTGTTTGGTCCAGCTCTCTCCTGCGTGTTGAAACCTTTGAAGATGAAGAACCAAGGCTCCAGGAGTGCCATACAGATACTGGCCTTTGCCTTCGTTGGACCAGTAGGTGACCAAGTCCTCCAAGGTGGGGCGGGTCATGTCCGAAAGAAGCGACCCCCGAAAAAGTTGGACCCAGAAAAGGACCAAAGCCTGCCCAGGAACATCTTGACAGCCCGGTTCAAAGTGCTTCCACACGTGATCCATCCCTTCAAGCCCGGTGAGGGTTTGAGGTTCATTACTGGCCAGGAACTGTCTGGCAGCAGGGTGTGAGTCTCCCCACGCAACCCAGAGTTCCCCCGCGAAGGCCCCCGCCCAGCACCAGCATCGGAACGGCGCATTCCCATAGCGCAAGTTATGGGGATTGGTCAGGATACTGGTGAGACCCTGAGAGATGACATAGAGATTGCCATACCCGGGTTCCATGTCTCCAGGAAGCGCCATCTGTCTGAGAAGCAAAGATTGCGTACGTTGAAGATCCACCAACAGCTGCTGCCCCGCTTGCAGTGTTGGTCTGCCCTTGTAGGTGTCACGCGAAACCTGTAGATCGTGTTGACATACTTGAAAAAGCCCATGTTGGCCTTCTGTCAGCTGCAGCTGGGGTGGTTGAGAGTCCTCCACCTCCATGATTGTCTGCCAAAACCGAGCCAAGGTCTCGGGAGGAAGGGTCCCGCAGGACCTCAAACAAAACATTCCCTCAAGCAAAGCCACTAAGACTAAGACATTTCAACGCAAACCAAACTCCAAAACCAGAGTGACAAGGAGAAGCATTGCTGCCTGTATCCAAGAGCCGGAGCCGTAGGCCGGCGCTTCAAGCACTCAGACAAGTGTTCGGTGTCCAAGGCAATATTTTTCCTGGGCCAAACTGGTCAAGGAGGGACCTGCAAACAGAAGCGCGTTTGCCGGATTCAATGGGCGGCACTTCGACTTCAAGGCTTTCCTGCGCGTCTGCAGCCCACGCTCGCAAATCTGCGCGGGCGTGTACCTGCGCGCGAGAGCGAGAAGGAGATGCAAGGCACGGTAACGACACCGCCCCAGAGGCGCACCAACACAGCTGTCCCCTCCAAACTCGGACCTTGACTCCGCTGCAGTGAAGGAGGTGCACCCTCCTTTCAACTTTGGTGGCTGCCCACCACGAACAGGTCCATAAACCCCGATGTGGAACCCGTTCGCCGGATTTGAGCCTGAATTTGCAAAAGTGTCGAAACCAGTGAAGTTGACTGAAATCCCGCAACTTGACTGAGTGACCCCTGAGTCCATGTCCACGCATGGGAAAACCCCAAAATCATTCAACGAGGGAGTAGAAGGCAAAGAAGCCAGCTGGGCCCCGTTACCCACAAGACATATTCTTGTCCTCATCTCCCGTCTTCCTGCGTTTGGTTTCTTCGTCAGCTGTGGAGGTCGGGCGCTTGAGCATAGTTTTGAGCTGATCCTGCTGCTCCGGGGTCAAGCTGACTCCAAGGGTGGAGATGAACCCGGCTACGGCTTCTGGTACCGGGTCCTTCATGTCAGCCTCATCAGACAACTGTACAGGATCAAGTTGTTTGCTGACCAAGTTCATGTATTCCACGCTCGTAGTGTTGAGCGAGGCCTGCTCTTGCTCGATCTTAGTCTGGACGCTCTTCATCTCGGTGAGCAGATCTTGGAATGCTTTCTTCGTGGAGTCGATTTTGCTCTGCAAAGTCTGCTTCCGATGGGACAGGCCCCTCAAGGTGGAAACCTGCTGTTTGAGCTTGATTGCCACGTCCTTCTCTGAGGGCGGTTGTGTTTTGGTGATGCGCTCCACCAGCTCTTTGACCGGCGCAGGTTGTCTTTGAGCACATCAGTAAGATCTGGCTCTTGACTGGATACCGCCGGAGCAATGCCGAGCTCTGAAAGCTTCTGCTGCACAGTCGAGTCCAGCTTGTCCCACGAGGACAGTAGGAGCTCACCAGTCTGCTTTTGCAGCTTGGACGTTCGTGAGCCTGACTGATGCCATAGTCCGGGAGGAGGAGTAATGGGCATCTGGTGCTTGTTGGCTTTTTGGGTGACCTTGAAGCGGGGGCTTTGGAGTAACCTTGTGGTGGCCTGGGCCATTTCTCACCACATCTTCTGCACACATAGCCCTCCCTCACCTTGTCGGACCAGATCCAGTTGGAGCAACCGCTGCCTCCACATACTTGATAAGATCTGCGCCAGTTGCTACCTGTTGTCATGGATCACCTTGCCTTCCGTGTTCTGGCCGAAGGGGTAGACAGGCAAAAGGTGATCGCGCCGTCGAGCTCGCCCAGAGTTCGTGACTCGGGCTTGAGGCTTAAACGGCTTGAGCCCTATAGGGGGGGTACCGTATATATATATATATATATATATCGAAAGCCAGCCGATAGGCAAGGCTTGAGGCAGGGGAGCGAACGAAGTGAGTTAAAGGGGGTGTGGGGGGGTGGTTGCCAGTGAGCCCAGAGTCTGGTGGGGGAGAGCGAAAAAAAAGAGGTGGTAGTTGGTAGTGAAAAAAGAGTGGTTTTAGGGGTGTTGCGATGCCGGTGATGTAATTGACGGCCAGTAGTGCATCGTTAGCGTCATGAGGGGCTCAGGAGGCAATGTAAACCGTTTTCTACCAGGGGTGGGAGTTCATGTCAATGATAGGAAAGGGGGGACAACGGGACGCGATAAGTGGTTGGAACTCTTCCAGAAAAGGGAGATGTGCGCCTCTCATGCCCAGTCAATTAGTGTGAAAGGGGCGTGTGTGTGTGTGTGTGTCTCTTAAGACATTGTGTGATCTGTGAGGAACCAGCATGCTGTGGGGAAGGTGAAATGTTAGAGTTGCTTGTGGGGCGCCCTTTTTTAATGGTGAAGACGCCTGTCAACTATGCTGTGGTCCGTTGAGGGCAGGAAAGATCTATATTATTTAATATCCATTAAATCTTATCAACATGCCGCAAGGGCACCCATATGGGGTGGGAGTTCATGTGGACGAGACAGGCATAGTGGAGGAGGACGTGATGGGAAAAGAGGGGTTGCAAGAAACGATGTGACCCATTCATTGAGAACAGGGAGGGAACAGAATGCAGCGGGCAAGCTTTGAGGTGCGTGGGGGTGCAATTTTTTATGGTGAAGAGGCTTGTTGACCAGACGCAAAAGGGCACCCCATATGGAGTGGGAGTTCATGTACAAAATGGGCATAGCGGGGGAGCAGGTGATAGGAAAAGAGGTGGGGAGCTCACCAGGGTTCTCGCAGTCACCCCCCATAATCATATTGATATTTTTTTACGACGGCTGGCTTTCGTCCCTTCCCTTCTCAGGCTTGTTTTTCTGCGAAGGCTACAGTCGGCAACGAGAAACGCATAGCAAACCATTTTTGCACTAGCTGGCACGATACAGCCATGCATGCATAGTGCGACAAATCCCATGGCCAGGGCAGCTTTCCAAAGTGTGACCTGTGACCCATGAGAGGTCCACCCAGATGTCGAAGAAGGTTGTCACCAAGAAAAAGGCCGAGGGATTTGCATGGCAAAGTTCTAATCGAAGTAAAAAAACATTTGTCATGGACGGAACAAAGCCACAGTTTGTAGCAAGGCGCAACCGGCGCCTGCCGCGGTGGAAAACGGAACTCAAGCAGCGGCAGCCCAGAGCTTAGCAGCCGAGGGAATGAGCAAGACATGCATGCAGAGCATTTCGCAGGCAACGACGGATGTCCGAGTTGCTCATCAGCTGCGAGTGCTGGAAACAGTTGAGCACCAAGACGACGTTGGATTCTTTTCTGTTCCAGTCTTTTTAGTTCCTCATCAAGACTGTGTGCTGTTGGAAGTGGTTCCTGGTGCTTTTGGCAACGACTCAATCTTGCAGGTTGCAGGGAAAGGTGAGGAGGACGAGAAGAAGTACCCATTTGATTTGTGAGAAAGGATGTGCGTTGCTTTTCCAGTCTTGAAGCAACGAACACATAGTATCCAGTGGCTGATTCCTTTTCAGGTACTCCCCACGAACTGAAAACCACATCCAGCAATTGTCAGCCTCCAAGGTTGGTGCGAACAACAGCATACTTTCTTTCACTAGCATTTTGGGGAAAACGCTAGATCCTGCCTTGCCGCAACTGGTATAAGAAGCATCCCAAGGACCGGGGTTCTCGACTTCTACGAGTACTCCCGGAGTGACATCGCCGGTTTGGTGCGCAGATGCCACTATGATGAGTGAGATCCCAAGTGAGTCTAATGCCGATGTTGCCCGTGTGTGTATTCCCCCCAAAGCAAGTTATTTAATGATATTTAATGTTATTTCTTGTTAAATGTTGATGAGATGTTTACTTCAGTGGTCTCTATGGCACAAAACAAAAAACCATTAGTAACTATATAGTTCGCAGGAGCTGTAAAAAAGATTATTGTTCCTGGGAGTTGAACCTAGACTCATGAATTTTGTGAGGGGTTTTCCTTGCCTCGTGAGTTGCTGAGGAATCAAATTCAAGTAGCTGTGGCGAACATCATTGAGGCCGATGCATTCGCAGCGAGCATCGTTGGAATCATTCCGCAACTCGCAAGCTTTTACACGATCCCAGGATCGTGCAAACCACGAAAAAGAAGAGTGGGGCACGGTCAAAAACAAGAAGCAAGCTAAGGCGCTGCATTAGTGGGCTGTCCGATTTCATTTCACCCAAAGCAAGGCTTCAATCCTGCGCATTTTCTCAGGAAGAACGCAAGATAAAGGAGGAGGAAGAGAAAAAGGAGCAGGACTGAGCTAGACTGATTTGTGCAATTGCCGTTGACCAGTTGGAATGACCTGACAGTGCTGGGGTACTCTTCAGGAGAGGTTGCAGAAGGAAGAAGAAAAGCAGCGCAGAGAAGCTGAGAGGCTTGGGTGGTGTTGGCTGTAGGGGGGTAAATGGTGCCACTGGATTCGCATCAGGAAAGCTGCAAAGGAGGCACGGGAAGCAGAACGCATTGGGCTCAGATGCGCTTTCTTTGCTCCCACAATGTACTTGAACAAACAATGGCAAAACTGGGGAGAGCAAGCTTAGCCAGGCTGGCAGAAACCGAAATATAGACGAAAGTAGTCACTGAAATCTTGTGAATGGAGTTACTGTACTACTTTGCAAAGTCGAGGTGCCGCCAAGCGAGGCCCACCACTCAGAAGGGACAACGCTCACTACCTGACCTCTAATGCCTTGATTGCTTTTTCTTGCAAATCGGTGGCTCAGCCGAGGCAAAGGGGGTGGCAAGAATGGGTCACACGCAGAGGGTGGAGGCAGATTCTGATTCAGGGGCTCCTACAAAGCTGTAACTTTCTTCGTTCTTTGTGTTGTTAGGTACCAGCTTGTTGAGAGAGGCATAGAAGCTTTTGAGATGCATCACGCTAGTGACCTGGACACCTCCACTTCCCTAGTGACGGTATGACACGCACGTTCAGTCGGGGGGGACACCCCATGTGACTCTGACCGTGACCCTTCGCTGTCGCCACAGCTTCTGCCCTACCGCCTGACCCTGCCATCCTCTTTGCCGGCACAAAGCCACAGAGTGAGCCCAGTCCCGAGAGGAAAGGGTTCGCAGGACTAACATGACTCATGACGCACATGAACCTATGAAATCCTCTTTAACATGCGGTAGAGATGCCGAACTTCTCTCAGGGAGAACCACGGTGCCTCGCAAGAGAACTGGCAGGGACAGTGGTCCGAAGCTTGAAAGATAGACAAGACTCGATGAGATGACCAGATCGGACAAAACGATTCGTTTTTTGCAGCCCAAATGAGGTGGGAAAATTCTGGTGACAAATGGGTGCGCCTGAGAATCTTGATGTTCAAAGTCGTGAAAGCATTCAACATGTGAACGGTTGCTTGCATGTGCTGTTCAGTATTGTTCTGAATCAGAGCTTGTTCTTAAACCATCTTAAAACAACTCTTGGTCGCACCTGCACGCGCAGAACGACAAGAGCTGGGAGTGGCAAGAGTCCTGGCATGGAGAAGACTGGGGCGGAAGCAAGGCGGTTTACAGCTAGCAAGCACTTTTCATGAGCCGCTGAGTTGCTACATGATCAAAGTCTGCATTCATGATAGTTAGTCCTAGTGCACACATTCTTTTACATAGTAATGCAGCATCCCTAGCAGGCAGAGAATGATGATTGGTGGGGTGGCCAGTGGGAGAAGGTGCCGAAATGTCTTGACCCGGAAGTAAACGTTTGATTCATGGACCATAGTGGAATTGGAGGCCGGCAGCCGCAAGAAAGGCTACAAGGCGGCCAATTGTTTGCTGGTCTAGGGCCATTAAGTCGCATCTAAAGAGTGAGTGAAGAACCTATCTCCCATTCCCCTCCCCAATTTGCATGAATCTAGCACAGCAGGAAAAGAAGGATGGCCCTCCCTTGCAGGAGGACCTCTCCTCATTCGGGACACAAGTGCTGCAAGCGCCATCTTTACAGTCTCAGGATACTGCTGACATGCAATTTTCTTTCTTGCAGGAAGAGGAAGCAGAAGGTGACTTCTGGGATATGCAGCATGCCAAGCTTGGTTGTTGTACTCTCCCTTGTCTTGGATGCCTGAACTTGGTTGAACAAGTCTTCCCTTCAAGGCCAGACACCTCTGCAGCGCCAGATGCAGAGGCCAAAGCGCTTTCGTGCCGCGGTCCTCGCGACGCACTGGTCGAGACTCCGGGTCGGTCTGGCAGGGTGGTCTGGACCAGTGGACACTTGGTCGCCTCCCTGGGCATGAGCGATTGGGGGAGAGTGAGCAAGGTGTGGCTATACCCAAGGCCGGAGATGAGTGGTAGGACAGCAAGGAGTGAAGAGTGAGGTACAAGTGAGGAAGGAAATTGTACCGTGATGCCTGTGCCTGCAATCGATTTTGGCAGGAGCATGAGGGTAAAGCAACAGGAACAGATTATAGAATATATGACATAGAGTGATATTTGACGGAATCAGCAAGAGCAGATCAGACGTCTCTTCAGGCAATGCCAAACAATGCCTTGACCGTCGAAGCTTTGGAGCTTGGGTCTCAGCTGATCCAGCGGAAGTGCTCGTCAGACCAGTGTTCGCCCATGGGTCAAGTTACCCTATAATTGGGATCGGGATTAATATACATGGGATTTTGGGATAGAATTTAAACATATACCGGGTTAAGCTATAACGAACAAATTGGAATTCAGTTGAATTTCTGGATCGATTTGTTGTCAACTACTAGTGCCCAGTTATATATCCACAACCTTGAAAGTATTTTTTTCTGAGATTCTAAACTGTGGAGCCACCTCCCAGTCAGATCCCTGAGTTCATCGGACCCACCTAAAATTGTCGCGCTATATCTACCATTCACCTGGTACCCTGGTGATGTTCGCTTTCGCCAGGGCACGCCTCACCTTGAAATCAATGATTATAGACAATTCAAATGCATTATTTTAAGTTAAATGGTGAGATCAGGTTAGATCCTACATTTTGGCTGCTCAAAAATCGAACTGGCAATATGACTTCCGTGTTTATTTTTTTTTTGCGGTCGAGCCTGGGCCTGGTAGAAATCGAGTGCTTGGTTCAGCTGATAAATGGTGGTGATGATCGTTACGAACCATCCAACAACAAAAGTAATAAGGCACTCGCCAGTTTTGGACAGGACGGGACCCAGCTGCCACACCTGCCCAAGCCAAATGAATACCAGAGACCCATCAGATTCGACTTCATTTTATTTGACATCCGCAGTGACAGGTCCAACGTTGGGCTTTCCAGGCTCAGTTTGTTCCAGTGCTAGCCCAACCATTCAGGCCTCCTGCCTGGTCATCAGTGCCATGTTGCTCCGAGCGGTGTTGGTTGCCAACTGCTGGGCTACAGCTGCTTCATACGGCCACCATTATCACCGTGATGACGATTCAGACTCATATCTTCCACTGGTACTTGGGATTGGCATTCCAATCATGTTCATTTTTATTTGCGCAAAGGAAGCGGTGCTGCGAGCTTACAGTGGGGACTCCCATCACATGTATCGGGTGGTCCCTGAAATTCCCATGTGCTGTGTGAAGCCTCACCTCCAGGTCCCATGTGCTGGCCCCGGCCAGTCAAAGTGGCACACCTATTATCCAGGAGATGTACTCGCTGTTCTCTCCAATGGCAGCTACCAGCGGGCTACCTTTGTTCGTGTGGATGATCGTTTTTTCCCGCCAAAGGCGGAGTTCCAAGCCATTTTGGGGCATCGCGGCCCCTGTGCCCATGGCACCCCTTTGTTGCACGCGGAGAGCGGCCCAGAGAGTTGGTTGCTGTCAGCTGCAGAGATGTACGACGACTGCCACTGCAATGTGGCTCCGGCTGATTTCATTGGTTTCGCCCCTGCATCATGGCATGACATCCTACAAAACCTTCGAACCCAAGTGGCCGCGCCCCCTCCCACAGCCCTGGAGACAAACCAGCCCAGTGTTGCGGGAGGTGGCTGCATTATCGCCTAGGGACCTTGCCCGGCAGATCCCGGTGATCTAATGGACCTGGGAGCTGATGAAACCGATACAAGCTCGGCTCATCAGTAGCGGAACCGACCGGAAATCCGGTATGACTCCGCCATTTGCAGACGTTTGCTGGTTGGTGGTTTCAAGCATTTTTTCCCTGCTATTTACAAATGATTGGTTGGATGACACATATTTTTTATAGGGGATGAAACCACCAACCAGTTTGCTGGTTTTCAAGGATGCTAGAAGTGATTGGGCAAACTTTTTGAAGCGTTGCAACGTCCAACATGAACCCAAGCACCATTGGTTGAAGACTGCGTTTGGGGTTACATGCCTTTCTGACTTGCCAGGAATCATGGGTGAGATTCCCCAGATGAATCCACGGGTGCTTGAACTGCTCAGAACTGGTTCTTGCCACTCAACCATGGTGTCATTTGTGTCAAAATGATGGGTTCAACATTTTGCTAATATATTTTGGAAACTCAAGAAGATAAATTTGGACTAGAAGGAGCCGTCAGCCTCAATAAACTTTTGCCGTAGTCGTTGTACCATATTCTCATATTCCCTTTGCTCCAAAAACGAGCAATTCCCGTACTTGAAGGGTCTTTTGGTAGAGACCTCGGAAGGGATATGAACGGCCAAAAGTTATGAAACAACCAACCCCTTGTGCCCAACCGGCGCAACCACTCGGACCTCTGGTTCCGTAGACGATGCCTGAGGCGAGACCACTTAGCAGTAGCATGGCCCTCAGGGAATGACATCTCTGTGCCTTTGAAGGCTCTCAAATTGCACCTTTCTATTTGCCACAGGGAAGAGACCTTTCTGGGCCCCTTCTTGGATCTGGGGCCTATGAACCTACGGACTATTAACGCCTGGTGACCTCTTAGATATCAGTCATGCTCGTGCGTGACCATGACCACTTGAGGCACCTACAATGGCTCCTCAAGTGGCCGCTCCAATACCAATGAATGCACCGACCAGCAAGCCGCTGGTGGATGGTCTACCACCTCCACAGCAGGATGAAAGTGGATGTGGCTTAAGAGTCATGGGTGTCGTTCTAATGAAACTCTTTTGGGGAAAGAAAGAGTGGGGCCCGGAGCGGGGCCCGGTGTCGTTCTAAGTGTGGGTGCCAGGACCTTTTGGCAGCCTTGGGTGCGCCAGTCACAGTGTGAAACTCAGGTGATGTTTGGAGCTTGGTCAAGACCTGCAGAAGGAATATGAAGAAACACACTGTGATATATGATATATATATATACAGGGAGCTAATTCACGTACTAAAGATCTCGTAATGCAGCCTATTCAGTCTTCCCGGCATCAGGCTGAGGCATCCTCCAGCTCTGCCCCAGCAGAGGAAAGATCGGAAAGGCCCGATCGCGGCGAGAAAGGCGCCAAAGGGTCGCAGTTTCCTTTTCAGTTTGAGTCGATGCTCGCTCGGTTCGAGTCGATGAACATGTCAGAATGCTTTCCTAGCCTTTTTCTGATTGCTTTCAGTAAGCTTGGAGGCCGTGGAAAAGGGAAGAAAGGCAAAGACCGAGAGAAAGGCGATGGTGAGAAGGACTGCACACTTGATGGGTGTACATGCAAGCTGCAAAATGGTTTCCGCTTACCTTTGTACTTTAGGGCGGCCAAACAATTGCACGACACTACACTACAGGGATGTATATACCAATGTCCAGGCATGTTGCAGTCACCTGTTTTTTTCCCCACCCTGTTCCGACTGACTACACAATCTATTCCACCAAGCAGAGAAAGCTTATCACCAAGCAGTGAAGAGTGGTTTGTTCCACTCTGCTTATGGTGCTTTTGGACCATTTTGTTTGCATCAGAACGTCCATTTTCTATCATGTTTGACAGGAGCGTTTAGAGCGCATAGATAGATCTGATGACCCCCGTCGACAAGCGGTCGAACAGGCGCATCTCGCAGATCGGTCTCGTGGGTCGACTCCGCTGAGATATTGGTGAAAACCTAGAAGCGATGGCCTCCAACCTAGCGATGGCCAACCTATTCTGTTTAAAGCCCGCTCGGCCCTTTGCGGTCCTGATACTCAATTCAGTAGGCGGCTCCTTAATTATGCGCGACTAGTTCGCTCCTAACTAGGATGCAGGATAGCGCTCGCACCAATGATTTGGTTTCTAGTTTTCGTTGGAGGATGACCGAGGGGCACTAAAGTCATCTAAAGTCGCCAACCAGGAAGCTATTATGTTTTGGGGGATACGCTTTGGCAACTACCCAATCTTTTCTCACCACAAGGGGAACCTTGTCACTTCATTGATATCCTCCCACTTTTCAAAAGACTGAGAAATGATCAAACATGCTCTACGAGTCATGACTCTTTCACAAAACAAGTTGCCAACTAGCCCCGGGTGCGGTAGGGCCGCACAGACAAACAAGCAGAAGTATTTATACTCCTTTATCCTTGACTGCCAGTCTGATGATTATGGTAATGATGACTGCTAAATGAAAACTCCTAGAATTCTGGACTCCAGATAATACAATGTTATGTATAATATGCTGACAAAGTGATGATTATACAATCAATACTATTCCAGCTGACATCAGATGATCAGATAGAACATAGTAGTCATTAAGATTGGAGTACCTGCCGCGGTTTGTTTGCGGTCGCAAGGTGGGAGAGGTTGTCACTGTGCGAAAGCACAGCTCAATGGGCTGCGCGGTCGTCTCCATGACAGACGTCAGGGTGAGACAGGCGTGGTGGAAGTTCAGAGTTAGAGATATAAGAGCGAGAGAGAGAGAGAGAGAGGGAGATATAAACCAATAATATATATATATATATGTAATGTACATAGAGACCCATACATACATGGTCTCCCGCCCCCGGGATTAAAGAGTAACACACCTGGTCATGCTTATTCCTTAGCGTTTCGGCTTCAGCTTATGGTGGCCTGCCGCGGGTGCCATAGTAGGTTGGAACTTCCCGTCGGAACCTCGGGGTACTGTGATCCCTGTTATTTGGCAGGAAAGGTCACCAAAGTTGTCAACCACCGGTATCCCACCTCAAAGGCCAAGGAGCTCACCCATCTGCTGGCAAAGGTTCTGACTACTTTGGAGTCGGATTGCGAGCTCTTTGAGGCCGATCGTGCATCCGGCGTGGTTGACGCCCAAGGCTACTTGATCGAGCAGAAGAAGCCCGTCAAGGAGGAGGAGAACAAGAAGGACACCAAGAGCTCGGCGAAAGCCGAGTCCGTGGCGGGGGAACACCCTGGGAAGGAGCATCCGTCGGCAGGCCCTTCAATGGCAGTCAAGGAAGAGAGTGAAGGTAATGAAGGTACAAGAAAGTCCAAGTCATCAAGAGCTCGTTCAACATCAAGACACAGGAGAAGGCGTCGCAGTCGGAGCAGGAGACGCGAAAGCAAGAAGACTCGGGGCAGCCCAAGCCCTGTGGTGGTTGAAGAGCAGGCGGAAGTCGTTGGCACGGAGCCGGAGGACAACGAAGATTTCGAAGAGCTGGAGGGAGAAGAGGAAGAGCCCCCAAGATCGAGAATCGACGACGAAGTCGAGCAGAACCCCAAGAAGTTCGAGTTGCGGCAGACTGCAAAACCCTCCAGTCGCAAACCCTTGCCAAGGAGGCCGCGGGCACCGTCAGTCTCCCCGCCGGGGTACCACTCGAGAGATCCAGCACCGCTCAAGAGGTGGAAAGGCTGGCAACACGTATATCGGGGCCAACAGAGACAAGCAAAGGGGAAAGGGAAAGGCGGAAGGGCCGCCCCTCTAAAGGGCAGTCATGGCGCCGAAGGAGACGGCCAGCAAGGCCGCCGGCGCTACGAGCAGTACTACGCCGACCAGCAGCACACATGCGCAACGAGGCAGATCGGGGCGGGGAAGCCCTGGATGGCGGGGAGCTGGCAATCGGATCCCTGGCGCACGGGGAAGAAGCAACGTATTACAGCAATCCATGTCAGTTCAGCGGCAAAGTCATCGAAGTCCACAGGGACGCATCGGGAAGGTACATCGTCCTCAAGCTCCTCGGCGCGAATCTAGAGTCGCTGCTGACATGGTCGACTGGCTCCACTCATTTCGCCCAAGTACATGTGTGTCCCGCAGAGTCAAGAAGCTGTGGGGCCAGGCCTCATACACTGCAAGAAGTATCGGGTAATCGGGTCGTTGGAAGACCTGGATGGGGTGCCTTGGCGAGATGTCCTGGTCGGCGCAAGTCCTCGAGACGGGGACGAGTTAGCAGGTTTGAGGAGTCGGATGGAAGCACTCCCCGGTGTGGCAGGCGGAGACGGAGGAGCGACAGGCTCCAAAGGCGAGAAGGAGGATGCCAAGAAGAAGGACAAAACGAAGAAAAAGAAGAAGAAGCATCAGAGGAGTCGCAAGAGATCAGGCTCGCGAGACAGCAAAAAGAGGAAGCGGAGCCGCTCGAGCAGGTCCAGGCGAAGTGGAGGAGGAAAGGAGAAGAAGTCGGCCGGAGACATCGGGGTGAGAAGCCCTGCCAGGAGCAGTTCTTCATCCAGCACGCACGAGCTCATCCACCGCGTACACTCCGGTCGACCAGAAGAGGATGTTCGCCCACAGTGGATTGGACCCATGAAGAAGGCCCGCAACCATCAGCGCCGGAAGGCACAGCGGTACGCTCAGAGGAGTCGGTCGAAGAAGGGGGACAGCAAGAGCAGTTCAAGCGGCAGAACAGTAGGCCTGCCCTGCCCAAAGAAATTGGGGTTGCGCGGTTGGTGGATATTTGTGAACAGGGTTGCAAACACTACGTGGAGAACTTCCCATCTTTCTTGAAGCCCCCCAGCGAATGGGGTCCTCTGCGGAAGTCGCGTGTTATGGTCAAGGATGAGGACTGGTTTAGTTGATGGATGGCAGGGATCTTTGGGGTGGTTCCGGAGTCAGAGGGGTCGAGAAGCGTGGAGAGGCGCAAGGGGTACCCATCTACCGCCTTATCATGAATCTGGTTCCGCTCAATGATCTCTGCCAGGGAATGGCCGGGACATTCAAACCCTGCCGCATTGGTTTGGTATGTCACCTTTTCACATTGAGCCCCACGAAAATCTTGTGGTGTCCAGTGAGGACTTGCGGTGTTTCTTTTACACCCTCGCTCTTCCACCTTGCTGGTACCCTTTCTTGTGCTTCAACAAACCTCTTCCTCCAGCCCGTGCGCCGCCCGAAATGCGGGGAGAAGTTTGTTATCCCTGTTCAAAGGTCTTGCCTAGGGGATTCCTGAACAGTGTGGGTATTGCGCAACATGTACACCGTACATTGGTACTGCGTTCTCAGCAACACAATCCCATTCGCAATACTGAGAAGTGCGAGATTCGAAAGGACAGAGCCCTGCCAGATGGGCAAACAGTATGGCGGGTCTACTTAGACAACTATGATCTGCTGGAGAAATATCCCCGGGAGACGTTGTTGGAGGAGTCGGGGGAGGCGGTCCCTGAGGTAATGCTGGCGTGGGGGCTTCCGCGTCACCCAGGAAAGGCTGTCAGCCGACAGACTGTGGCAGAGGTACAAGGGGCGGTAGTTGATGGATCTCGGGGGTTGGCGTGCCCTAAGGGCCAGAAGTTGTCTAAATACTTCACGATCGCTCACCAGCTCATGGAGGAGACCATGGCCACACAACGGCAGATGCAGGTGGTTTGTGGAGGACTCGTGTATTTCTCGACGTTCCGACGTCAGCTCCTGGGGGGGCTCAACGCTTGTTGGACCTTCATTGAATCCTTCAATGCGCGTAGACGTCATCGACTTCCAATCCCCAAAGGAGTAAAGTTGGAGATTCGCCGCTTCCTCTGTCTGGCGCCCCTCTGCCGGATGAATTTCCGCATGAGCTTGCAACCGCTTGTCACTTGTAGCGACGCCTCGGAACATGGAGGAGGAGTTTGCGCCTCCACCGGACTGACGAAATTCGGAGAGCAGGTGGCATCTGTGGGAGCAGCAGGCGAAATGCAAGCAAATCGGGGCGGACGCATCCTGAGTACCGGACTATTTGATGGGATAGGTAGCCTGCGGGTGGCCCTCGATCTTCTTGGGTGTGACGTCGCGGGGCACATTTCAGTGGAGAAGGACCCTGGAGCACGCGGGTACCCTGACGTGGCGGTGTGACCGGGTACCCTGACGTGGTGCAACCGGCCGCGGTTGTACTGGATAACTTGGGAGCTTGACTACAATGAGGACATCATCGACCACTCTAAGAGGGAGCTTGCGCTGATCGGGGAGTCACCCTGCGAACAGAGTGTACAGAGAGGGTGGACAAAGTGGTGGATCCGACCCAGTCATTCCCAGCCTTTACTACCTCACGTCCGCGTACCACTCGAGGTCATCGACCTGCTGGGTTGCGACACTGTGATGATGATACTGTTCATCGCTGGGAGATGGACAGTCACAGATTTCCGCTCTACCAGTACTTGCCTCGCCACTGCCTGGTAAACAGAGACATCATGCTCATCAGCACGCCGGATGAAGTACAGAGCCATCAACGACTTCGCCACACAGTCAACCCCAAGATGTGGAAATGGAGAGTCATCTCCGGATGGAAATGGACAGGTCGGGGAGAACGCATAAATTCCCTGGAATTGCGAGCTTGTTTGGCCTGCTTCCGATGGAGGTTGAAGCACGTTCAGGAGCACGATTGTCGTATACTTCATCTCACAGATTCGCTGGTATGCCTTCGCAGCATGACGCGTGGAAGAACTTCAAGCCGCCGTCTGAGACGGACCCTCTGCCGAATCAACTCGCTCTTGCTAGCACACAACGTGGTTGGACTTTGGGGATATGTAAGCGCTGACCTTAACCCGCGGATCGTCCGTCTCGGTGGGCAGTGCACACTAAGTTTCGCCATGCCAAAGGTCGTATTTGAAGGAAGTACACAAGCTAGAAGAGCGCAGGATAGGCAGAAGCTAGGCAGCTTGAAGCAGTTGACCGTACAACCCTCCACACGTTTGCGATACGAAAAAGCTCTGAACAGGTTTCTCTCGTTCCTCAAGGCCGAAGGCCTGAGTCTGCCGAGTAGGCGTGAGCAGCTAGATACTCTGGTCATGGAATATATAGAGCATCTCTGGCTCCATCGCAACATGACCGGGACACCATCAAAACAGGACCGGGACACCATCACAACATGACTGGGGCACAATCAAAACATTATCGGGACACCATCACAACATGACCGCGCCACCATCACATGATCGGGACACCGTCAAAACATGACCGGGACACCGTCACAACGCGACCGGGGCACCATCAAAACATGACCGGGACACCATCACAACATGACCGGGACACCATCACATGACCGGGACACCATCAAACATGACCAGGACACCATCGCAACATGACCGGGACACCATCAAAACATGACCGGGACACCATCAAAACACGACCGGGACACCATCACAACATGACTGGGACACAATCAAAACATGATCCGGACACCAGCACAACATGACCGCGCCACCATCACATGATCGGGACACCATCAAAACATGGCCGGGACACCATCACAACACGACCGGGACACTATCAAAACATGCCCGGGACACCATCACAACATGACCGGGACACCATCACAACATGACCGGGACACCTTCAAAACATGACCGGGACACCATCACAACATGACCGGGACACCATCAAAACATGACCGGGACACCATCAAAACAGGACCGGGACACCGTCACAACATGACTGGGTCACAATCAAAACATGATCGGGACACCATCAAAACATGACCGGGACACCATCAAAACAGGACCGGGACACCATCACAACATGACTGGGTCACAATCAAAACATGATCGGGACACCATCAAAACATGACCGGGACACCAGCATCACATGACCCGGACGCCATCAAAACATGACCGGGACACCATCCGCCCACCAGCTCTGACGGTGACCCGACGGCGCCCGTCCGCCTATTAGTTTTGCAAGACCCCATAGCATGGCTATTGGGGAATAAGAGAAAAGGTGCTGCTTACTCTTTATATATATATATACACAGACATTTGGAGCTTCTCACAACAATGGCAATTGCGGCAATGATTGAATTGCAACGAGCACATCCCAATGCAATTCAACAATCCTCCGAATAGCTCATCTACTGCAATGAAGTAGTGCAAACAATCAGTTCATTGACTTTGTCTGTAGCAGCTGAATACCTGCTGACCAATGAGGTCATTGGATGGAGAGCGTAGCTGCGATCGTATCCATTACAAAAGTTGGGTTTTAACACAGAGAAAGAGCGAAATACAGATTTGGCAAGGGTATGAGGGAAATACAGATTTTGAGAGAAATACAATGAGGTCATTGGCAAGGGCATCGCCTATTTTTTCACGAATGATTTGTGAAGCATTTGGTGTGAGGCCATCGTGGCTGAGGGCAATGAGTGCACCATCAACAGCATCAAGGTGCAAATCAAGCCACATACCAACAAGGACTGGGCCGGACGGGGTATGGACCTTCAGAGTTTGAGTTCTTTTGGGCAATGTATCTCAGTATCTCAGAGCATCCTCACAGTATTTTTGTTTTGATTGTTACAGGAAAAAACGCAGTGTGAGAGAGGTTTGCCTTCCCGGATCCAAGAAAGCTTGTTCGACCAATTGCAGGAAACCAAGGAAGAGGTCTTGACCGACCTCTTTGTGGCTTGGGGCAGACAGGCAAGCCAGACGGATAGTGTTTTTTGCCAAAAGGCTTTTGGGCCTCAAGCTGGCACAGGCCGAGAAAGCGAATCCCTTGTCCGAGGAGAAAATTGCAAAGCTTTGGGCTTAGCACTACTAGCTTTGCATGGCTTTGCAGAGCGTTGCACATTGTTGCTTGCTGGAAATCTCTGCGGACTTACGAATCAAGAGGTACTTTGACACCAAGCACAAAGAGATTGTAGCAGGTTGGAAGGCAGCCGAGGAGGAGCAGACTGAGCAGACTTGTGTGTAAAAGTCCAGCTTTGTAACTTGATGAACTACGAGATACATGGCATGTTTCGAGCATTACGGTCGCACTTCGCCGCTGCAATTTCCGGGATGGCCATTGAAGCTGGCAAAGCCGCCAGGAAAGAAGGGAGGCCGAAGAGAGGGAGCAGCAACGCGTCCAGGCAAAGAGTGTTTTCATGCATTTTAGTCAAAGTCTGGATACCAGGAAGTACATTTACACAAAAATGGGAGTGCATATCGAATATCGAGCACGTTCTGTCTTTGCAAGAGCTCCCTTGTGGAGCAACGCCACAACTTACGTATCTCCTGCGTTTTTGTGTTTTCCGGCTGAATCACAACTATGTGATAATCCATCTCTAAGCGGGGCGAGGAGTCCATGGCAGTTTCGCCAAACGCCGTCACGTCTCTCAGCACTCTGAGTGCTGTGTTGGGAGGAACAGCAAAGGCAAGAGTTGGTTTTAAGACAACGAACTGAAGAGCTGGGACCTTAGAACGACGGGGAAACCTCATGAGGTTCTCCATGGGACATACCGACATGCTGGGACAGAAATGTGCCTTGCTTTCTTTTTTTTAGGTTTGTGTATGTATACATATATCATATATCGATTAAGAGTGCCTACTGAGGCGGAGACGATACGAAGAAGAGCAAGAGTGGACTCTATCGTGTTTGCCGTTCCGAGTGCTGGAATCCTGCACATAGCATTGGACGTGTTGCAATCAATATTTTGATGAGAAGGACACCCAACGTTTTGCTTTGCGGCAGTACGATAGCAGCCAGGCAGAAGCGACGGCAACAGGAGGCAGGACTGAATGCTATGAGGGAATGTCCAAATGTCCGGTTTAGGTGAGGCGCGTCCAGGGTTTGTGCACAAGACATGACTCACATATACCAGATCAATTGGGAATGTACGCGGGATGGCATGGGCACACTCACGACTCACAAGGCTTCCTTGTTGCTCACCCAAAATCCCCATGTCTCTTTGGCGAACGATGAATTTTTAATCATGAGCAATTGATCATTCCTTTGGAACGAACATTTCATGCAGACACAAGTTTTTGCTTGTTGACCGTGACTGTTGGGTCAGCTGCGGATCGATTTAACAAGTTCAATTTCGTGGCAGGTGTGGGGTGGTCAATCATCACACCGTTCTAAATCTATGAATAACATAAAAGGCTTCCCGGTGTGAAAAATGATCGCCCACACCGTGTAGGGTTATAGGGGGAAGGGCTGCAACGAGTTTGAATTTCAAGAAGCGCAGCTTTTGTCTGGCCAGTGTAATACAAAGGATCTCCCACAGCATCTTCCACGGAGGTAGTTCTTTGGGGAACTGAGGCCGAGCAGCAGCAAAAGTGGATGAGTCAACAATGGATGCAACAACAAGCTGGTGGTGTCGTCCCGCAGGCCAAGTTGAAAACATCAAATCGACTTTGGCCAGTCAGGTAATTATATATATATATCGAAAATGGTGACAGTGCTCAGTGTATAGAGGAACATAGTCGGACTTCCAGGTATCCTTTTTAGTGGAGAACAGTACCTGACGTTTGATCAGGCTGGCGGAGTTAGGGGCATGGGAGCCAGCACAGACGCGCAAGGAGCTGAGAACGATTCGTTCCTAGTAGCTTCTTGTTCCTAGTAGTAAGGCCAGGAGCTCCTAGTAGCGTCCTTGCTCCTAGTAGCGATGCCAGGAGCCCCTAGTAGCGGCAACTTCCGGCTGCAAGTCACTTGCTGTTGAGGTATGCACAGCTACAGCAACAGCCGCAGCAGCTTCATCCCAAGACGTTCGGTTTAGCTTCCCGCGGTTTGATGCGTTCAGCTTCAGCACATTTCATTTCGGACCATGACACAGTTTCTTCAGGCAGGCAGCGGCTATGCAGTGGGGCAATTCCCAGCAGCAGTGGATGCAGGCTGCTGTTGAGCTTGCACAGAGAGAACATGGAACCTATGTGTGCGCAGACCCAAGCCAGGAATGCTTGGCAGTATTGTCCATGCTCTGTACTGTATGTAGACACATAGCATAGCATAGCCATTGTGCGCTTTTGAGTGAAACAGGCAATGGCTTACCAGGCACAACAGGTGCGAAGTGCTTTTCTGCATAACATGCTGCGTGTGCCGAATTCCACTTCAAACGTGAGTCTCACTGATGTTTGACTGGGAGGGCTGGCAGATGGCTCAACGAAATCTCCAAATGCAGGGCATGGCATCCGGCCAGGACAGGATGGTTTTGAAGAGCTATAGAGCTTTACCTGTCGTCATCAATGTGACCCGTTTTGTCCTACTTAAGCTGAGTGGAGAGGAAATTTCATGATAGATCCACAGATCAGGATAAGGTCAGGACAAGGTAATGTAATGTTTGACGAGCGCCTTGAATTCTGGAGGTAGACGTAGAGTCCACATAAGTAACAACTTTTCATGATGGATTCTTTGGGAAAACCCGGTGTTTCATTCTGGCACTCTGTCAGAAGTCCAGTTTTGTTCAGAGCGGATGTCCTCTCACGTCTTCCAGCCGATCCACTGAGTGTGGCAGGACTCTGACTGGCGAGCTTACTACGCGCAGTGCGCGGAAATGGTTTGAAATGCTTCCCCGAAAAGGACGGACTGGACGTCGTGACACTGGAGGTACATGAATGAACAGCAGCGTGGCCAAAATGCATACGCAGTGACCCTAGAATTGCGGATGAAGGTGATGGCAAGCTCTTCAATCCAAATGTTGCGGCACATTTTTTTTTTGCATCAACCTCTAGGCTGCCCAACAACAAGCCGGTGGGCAAGGGGCTTAGGGTCGGGTCAATTCCGGCCGCATCAAGCACTGACAAACCGGTGAAACAGGTTTTAATCAGTGCCCTCACAAAGCCTGCTACTTTTGAGGTACCAGAACCAGCAGGCCTTCAATTATGGGGCTGCATACTCGCGCGGTGAGCGCATTTAAACCGAGAATGGCAGCACATTGCATTTTGACGAGGCTGCCCTGTAGAGAGCAAGAGATAACTAGATCGTAGAGGCGGCTTAGTAGGTAGCTCCTGCGTCACACTCAGGGTCTTCAAAATCGTGCATTGCCAAACTTGTCAACTCAATGAGAGGAACTGTAGAATAGGATCCCTGGGTGCAACGTAGGACTTTTTCAGGAGCTGACATGTGGATCGATGCCAGCTGGCTTGCAGTTCCCTTTCGAAGTCTGTAGCTATGCTCCTCCGCTAATTCTATCCAAGGAGATAGTCAATTATCCATTGGATTATATATTTGGATTACTGCTGGCTTTTTGGGCGGCTTACCCGCCGGTAAAGGATGCAAGGAGGTTGTAGCCTGCAGGCACTTGGCGCTTGAGGCCCCGCCTGAGGCAAACAGAGGCATTCCAAAACATTCCAACCATCGCCGCTCCAATAATTTTGCCTCTGTCTCACTCGACGAGCGAAAAAGGAAGCTTTATAGAAGCGCGAGCCGGCATTCTAACGTTCTGCTGTAGTCTATTTGTGCTGTTTTCCAGTCATTTGGGTATTGGAAGAAAGGGTGTCCGCATTCAGTGAGGGAGTGCAGATGCTTGTACAGTGCCGTGCCGTGAAATCGTGGCCCAGCAGTAGTCAGTAGTCGAACGACCCCCGAACTCCTCGCTGGAAATCGCGAGGTGTGAGAGCTTGAAGTTGGGCTGGGTTGGTGGAGCTGGATTTCTATAACAAAAGAATGAACCATCGCTACTAGGGTGGAGGCCATGTTTAGCCTTGCAGAAACAATGGCGTTGAGCCAGATATATATATATATAGGTACTACATTCTGCAATTCATGCAGGTACAAAGGTTTTGGAGCGCTGGATGGGTTTGGTTTTAGTTGCCAGAACCCCGCTTGGACGACCATGGGTCACTCGGATGTCCAGGTGAGGAAGGCCGTGATGCCGGGCGAAGGCTGGGAGGTGATGGGGGAAACCGAACTCCAACAGCAGAAGAGCCAAATTTGGGGCAAGGATGCTACTCGGGGCTCCTGGCCTTACTGGAAGCTACTAGGAACATGGTGTGGGAGAGATTTGGGAAACATGGTGTGGGAACCATGTCCCCACCTCTGAAGGGGTAGGTGGAGTGGGGCTTCAACGGTTCAGTTGGCGCAAGTCCGGCGCCATAGAGCATGAAGGCCACTTGGTAGGAAGCCTCGAACAAAGGCATGTCTCTTTTGAATTCGGTTGAATCAAATTGGAATTATTTTCATCTCCCTCTCCTTTTTTCCTGAGTGGATTATTCGATAAAGTGGGCCCTGAAACCGGTGATTGGGGGAATTGACCAGTCAACTCACGCTCTGCCGCATGGGAGCAGGTGGCTCAACGGATGCCCCACCGCCACCATCTGGCTTGGGCAACTTCAAAGGAGTAATGCTCTGCACCTTGGAGAGGACCTGATTTGATTAGGGACGGGAGGATACACTACTGGATATCCCTATGTTAGGTCAGCCATGGTCAGCCCAACTAATCCCAACGACTATATATATATATACAACTATATATCTACGTCATCTCATCTCCCTCGTTTTTGGCAACAACTTCTATAAGCTTCTTCTTTTCCAATGTCAATTATGTATTGTAAGGGGAAACAGAGCTGTTTCTCCACATTGATGCTTGGAGACTGATGATGCTTCGCAGTGTGTCATGAGGCAATAGGCCCAGTGACGACTCCAAAGTCGTCAGCGAAGCAAAGCAACCGTTCAGGTCGGTGTCCGCTTTGGAGACTTTGCATCATCCTACTCAGTCCTACTCAAGCGGCTCAGAACTGCTAAGCCACGTCATCTTCCAAAGAGTAATCCTTGTGGTCCATATCCTGGGGAAGAGGGAAATCAGACCCTCAACCGGGATTTTTCGTTCGCCCTTCAACTCCGCAATTGAGCAGGTCTGCAGTGGCCTATACCTCAGACCTGGGCCTTACACCAGTGAGGCGGGTGAACACCTCAGGGTCCTGAAAGAGCAGTTTTTTTATACTTTACCAATCTTTACCATTATATATATACTAGGGTGTGTTACTCGGTTGACCCCAAAATTGAAGGCATCCTCTTGAGACACTGGCATGTATGTATGTAAAACCTATACAATGAAATCTGGCAAAGCTATAACGACGTCAACGACGTCAGCAGAACGACCTAACTTTTCGATAAAACAATTGAAAGGGAAACATTCCCCTTTGCATCAAACACTCTTTAAGACTTTAGCATCCAAAGCACAAATACTATTCCTTTCCGGTTGCTCATGTTGCCAGAAGCACATTTCTGTCAATTGGCTGCCAAACCTTCCCAAAACGCTTTCGGCCACAGGCAGCCGAACATCCCAAACAGCTTTGAGCGCTAGAGCGAGGAACGACGATCATAACTCTTGTGCAAAAGGAATTCTAGATAGTGTGAAGTGGCCATGTCCAAGCTCGCTTGAGCACGTGGAGGCGGAGCTGGGTGTCCCGAAGTGAAATGAAATGAAATTAAGCACTGAAAACGCTTTTTGGCACTTGGGGCTGCCAGATATTAAAGCAGCTTTCAAGGCAGAAGGTGGGGTTGGGGATAGGAGGCGTGAACCGATGCACTATCAAGTACGAGGAACAGATCATTCCGAAGGGCATTTTCAGGATAGAGGGAAGGTAGATGTAGGTGCGCCAAAGTAGGGCTGGTGCCTGTTTGCTGCCATTGCTCTGCTGGCACCTCAGGGCGGAACTGCCAAACAACCTTTTTCAATGGCGAGGAGCCCCTCAAGTTCCAAAAGGTCCTTCCACTGGCCCCGCACTCATGATACAGAGCCTTTGAAGAGCCCAGCTGTTTGCACCGAGAGTTAGAAACCAGTTTTGGCGCTTCCAGACTCCAAAGCCAAAAAACCTTTTCGCACGCTAGGGTCCCCCAAGAGTTCCAAAGGCCAACGGTCCTTTCACTGGTCATGGTCCTTCACTCACGATTTTTCCACCGGAGCCCTTCGTTCATGACGAGTTTTTTGCTCGGAGATTTAGAATACATTTTGGCGCAATTCCAGTGCCAAAAAGCAAAAAATCCTGGTCAAGCGCGAGGAAGCCAGCAGTTCTGATAGCTCCTTCCATCACTCATGACTTTCCAACTTCACTGGGCCCTTGAAGACACTTTTTTTGGCGTCTAGTAGGGTCCACAAGCTCTTGTGATGGGCGACCTTCGCCAAGATATTGAAAGTATTGTTTGGCACTTCCAGGGCCCAAAAGCCGAACATTTTTTTTCAATTGGGGACGCCCCGAAGGGTTCCAAAAGGTTCTTGACACGCAGCTCTTCGAGTGGATCCCCGGGTCCATACGGTGTCAGAATAGTTTCCAACATTCAGCGGCCTGGCCTTGTTTCAATTTTGAGTTTGCGAAGTTCGACTTGCGACCTGCGAGCTATTATTGTTTTACTGTAGCTGATTATATATATATATCAAAAAAACTATAGAATCTATGATATCTTTGTGTGGAAACATGTGCTGGAGGATGCCTTGAAGTGAAACTACTTGGGAACTACGCTGTTGGTCGCCTGGGTATTATTGGTGGTTGCGTGATGTATCCCAATAGAAGTGCGTGCACGACGAAAAGGGGCGGAAAAGTGCAATGTCAGAAACTACTTTTTTCTCCTCATTCGGACCTCTTGAAGTGGTCGCCCAACTCTTGCAGCATCACATGCGGCTTCGCCGCGTGGATGCTTCTCCTCCATGCCCACTGGTAGCATCGGCTGACCAGTCGTGGATTCACTTTGCTCTGACCTTTACGTTTCTGTTTCCGTTTTGTTTGCTTTGGCAACCATGTTTTCAAGCTTTTCCAATCAGCATCCAAGCACTGTGTTCCAGCTTTCTTCGAGAGACATCCAAGGTTCGGAGCAGAAATATCTTTACAATACTGCCGCATTTGGTGAGACACCTGAAAACATTTGACTTTCAGGCTATCAGCAGCAGTCTGCCATGCTTTGGCTCCATCTGCATAGAGGGCTGTCTTTCTTCTGGGATGTATTCTTTCCAGCAATGCGGAATTCTGAATGTCCTTCCAGCTTTCCACCGGAGGTCTTGCACGAGGTTGTGTGACCTGAGACCACGGTTGCAACACAGCAGCGTGTTTTTCTCTCCGATGCTATTTCTTTGACTATTTCAGTAGCAAAAAGATTATAAAGAATTTGAAGTCTTCATTTTGGTCGACCATTCTGGTTGTCAAGGAACATGGGGTCGAAGCACAGAGATGACTACATCACCATTTCTTTGGCGTAAGCCGATGACACGAACATGGCAAGGATATGCCGGGTGCACCACACCAGCTTTCTGTTGCAAGGCAAGAATCATGTCAGCATACTCTGCGTTGTCCTTGGACACGAAGAACTGTCCGATGCTAGTGGCATCGCGCTCGACGGCGCCAGATAGGACCGCCGACCGACAGAATGCTTTACCCGCATGAGCCTCACGTTCTGCCAGGACGTCCAAGAAATGACGGCAGATGGAGTAGCCATGATGGCTACGTTGCACCAAGTCCTGCGCGGGAAAGCAACAACTTCTAAGAAAATCCAAACCTGACCCCTCCAACCCCAGTCCTCAATGGTCATCACCTTCATCAAAGAATGCGTCGAGTAGATGATGAGCAAAGCCAGCAGTTCAGAGGGCAGGACTTGCAAGCCCACAAAGAAGGAAAATGCAAGGAAAGGACAACGTTTCTGACAATTCCAGTGCGAACATCTCCAATGCCAGTAGCTCCTGCGGTCGCTGCGTGCAGCTTCCAAAGGTCCTTCCACAGACCTATCTCCGCACGCTGAGCAGGTCTTTGGCGTTGAAACGAATCCGTGGCTCAGTAGCCATGCTGCGGCCTCAGAATCCGAACGGCTTTCCTCCCAGGGCAAGCTCCGATCAACTGTGCGCCTCGTGTGCTGCCACTTCTTCGCTGTCTTTCCCAACGTACGATCGGTGAGCTTCTTTCCTGTCGCTCAACTTTGCATGAGTCCGAGTCTCTGAATGCTTGGGTTCGCAACGGCTGCTGACACTCACTAGTTTCTTCACTTGCTGCTGCAGGGCTTTGATTTTCTTTGCGCCAGGCTTCTTACAGCTTTCCAGTCGATGGGTCGTGGAGCCATAACAACTGCAGCGATGCACTTGTCCTCTGCGGCTGCGCGCAGCAGGACGCTTCATGGAAGGGGAGAGTTCGGTAACTCCGAACCAAAAAGGGCAGCGAAGCAATCAGAACATGCTCGTATGGTCTCGATTGACATGTTGGGAGTCCTCCGGACAGCTTCAAAGACTTGTCCGAAATCTTATATTTCACACACGAAGTGTTATATACATAAGTGTGTACAAGTCGCAATCATTGTAGAATCAACCATCATCGACAAGAGCGCAATGCGCAGACATAACTTTTTTCGGGCTGCAGGGGATGTGCTTCAGTTTACGGAGCCTCGGCGCAAAGCCTGCTCTAATGAATTATACTCCTACCGCATCGGAGCAGGTAGACGAGAAAACAAAGCCATGGGAAAAGCATGTGAGTACCAGCACTTGTTTCCAGCAGTGCTACCAAACCAAGCACTGCACCTCAACCGCAAATGGCCACCGTTGACCTTTCCACCACGATTGAGATGGGGCTGTAAGGACCTAATTGGATGGTCGCGGCAGCCACCCCACTTGAACCTTTCTTGACCGGCGTGCCAGACCGGTACTGACTGGGAAGTGAGGTCATCGATGTAGTTGCGACGGTGCTGAAAGTGGGCCTGCAGAAAAAAAAGAGAGCACTTAACAGTGCCAAACTTGCAAAGCAACCGCAGGCATCCGCAGGCTATGTCCAAAGCTGTCCATGTCCAAAGCTGTCCATACAACGCAAGACGAGTAGTGCTGGCGATGTTTAGTGTGAAATCGCGCAAAAGAAACCCCAAACCAAAAAAAATGTCAGTCCTGAAACAGCTCCGCTCTCGATGACATGGACGCGGAAACTCTTGCAGGCACGTTCGCAGCACTGTCTGACATGACTTCCACCTCGGACTGCGGACTTGTGGGAATCTCAGGTACCTCAATAGCCGGATCCACATAGGTTTCTCTGAAATACCACTTTTTGTAACGCAGATGCGGCGGTGACTCCGCACCATGTATCGGACTGATGCCGCCATGCTGACCGTCCAAAGCGCTCATTTCAAAAAACCTGCGCTCGGTAGTGGCTGAAACACTGACGGGAGATGGAGGAGACTTCACGTCAGGACTTTGTGAGTCCTGCGCCATGCTCACAGAGGCAGATCCAACAGGCAGCCGTTCCATCTCCATAGCTTGCTCGTCCGCCAATGTTCTGTCCACCTCCTCCTCAGACCACTGAGAAAGACCAGGAATGGATTGGAAGCGATCATAGATTTCTGACGTCGGAATGCTTCGATTTTGTCCCAAACAGAACCGACGCTGAAACACTGAAGCCGCTGCGTGGACATGCGGCGGCAGGGCACGCCGTCGCTGCCAAGGAAGCTGTCGGAAACCCAAACCATGTCTCACATCATTCAGCACAGTTTCAACCACCCAAATGGGTGTGCCTAGATCCAACAGGACTATCATCGCATCATCTAAAAACTCACTTCTGACAGTGAAAAAAAAGGAGCTAGGATCTCATGGCGATGAAAAAAGCTGCATCCCACCATCCTGAGAAGTAATATGTAAACCAAGCACTCGGAAACCTGCCAACGAATCACATCCATGGCGGGCCACAGTAGGAAAGTGGCAAAGTAAAGTAAAGTGAAGTGGACGTGAAAATCTGCGCATGCTTCATGCAAGATCATGCAACTTTGTTGAATTGAGCATGCAAGATCATGTGGCTCGGTCAGCTAAAAGCACTTGTAGCAGCTGGACACAAATATGTCTCTGCCAAGCGCACAGTTCATTCGCATTTTCATTCAACTCTCTTTAAAAAACACCTCTCTCACTTATGTCAAAGTCACCCAAGCAACCCCACTGAGCAGCGAACAAACACAAGAGCATAATTGGTTGAAGACCTGATCTACTAAAGATCTACTAAACACCTAGGACCTAGGGGGCTGGGGCCTTACATCCCTTGCATCATCCACGTGGCATCATCAACGTAGCGTCCAAAGTGTGCGCCAGCCCGCATGGACGTTATTAGCCCCCGCCCCACCCCATCCCCACCCCACCCCATGCACTCCGTGGCAACTTATCTCCGTGGCATCATCCACGTGGCATCATCAACGTAGCGTCCCAAGCGTGCGCCAGCCCACATGGACGTTATTAGCCCCCACCCCACCCAATGCACTCCGTGGCAACTTATCTCCGTGGCATCATCCACGTGGCGTCATCAACGTAGCGTCCCAAGCGTGCGCCAGCCCGCATGGACGTTATTAGCCCCCACCCCACCACATCCCCACCCCACCCCATGCACTCCGTGGCAAGTCATCTCATCACCCAGTACACCTCAGTTTCCACCAGGCGACAGGCAGCGCTGTTGGCAACTACTTGCATCAAAGTGTAACATAACAGGATGGGTTAGAGGAGTAGAGTTGTTTTTGGTACAAACAACATATCTGGTGAGTGGGTCCTTCTGCAGAGGTGTTTAATGCGTATCAGAAGACATCTTAGACAGAAGAGCGTGCCTCAAAACAGACATCTAATCCACGTGCAAAAACAAGGGCTCTACAGTTCAAATCACATGTTGGGGCAACTGTGTTTATTTTTTTGCATGTTTGCATACGCGAGAAGGCCCTTCTCACCAACACGACAACGCAAGCGTACACATGCAAACACATGTCCTGAACATTATCATTGCCAAGCGGGTGCCCTTTTGAGATGTGTTCAGATCAAATTTCAATTTTCGGATGCCAGTGGGATGCACGGAGCCTGCTTCTTAAGTAACATTTTTTTTTGGATTCCCTGACGTGCTGCTATATAGATTTATATAATTCCAATGCAGATGCTTTGAGAGTTTGAGGGGTGCACATGATCGTAGACATGGAACTTTTTTTGGGTGCTACTTCTTGGATTCTCCAGGCATAGTTTCAATGGACAAGGAGAACCGTTGTTGAACAGATACACGCGCAACTTGTGTATATACATTATATGTCCTTTTACATTAGTAATATTAGTATGCAGTATGATAGCCCAGGAAACCCATAAAACCAAACGAAAACTATAAAATCAAATACAAATAGTTTGGAAAGTATGCTGCATGTTCATATCCGTATGGACTTAATTAGATGGAAAACACTTTTCTTTTTCCCCAGATAGCGAAGCTATAGGGGTTCTTACTTCTCAATGGATGGGTTCCTGATTGCGGAAATTGGCTGCCGCTGCCGCTGCCGCCTTGTTTCCCAAGCTTGTCTCCCGTCATGATTTCGCTCTTGGCTGCCGCTGCTGCCTTGTCTGTGAAGCTTGTCTCCCTTGATGATTTCGCTCTTGGCTGCCTCTGCCGCCTTGTCTCCCAAGCTTGTCTCCCTTCATGATTTCGCTCTTGGCTGCCGCTGCCGTCTTGTCTCCCAAGCTTGTCTCCCTTCATGACTTCGCTCTTGGCTGCCGCTGCTGCCTGGTCTCCCAAGCCTGTCTCCCTTCATGATTTCGCTCTTGGCTGCCGCTGCCGCCGTGGTTCCCAAGCTTGTCTCCCTTCATGATTTCGCTCTTGGCTGCCGCTGCCGCCTTGTCATTTTCTTGCATGCCTTTGACGCGGATGCTGTTATAAGATGATTTAGGTCTTGTTTACCTTTTCCATCTTTTTCCCGGCTTTGAGTGGGATGTCTCCCAAGCTTGTCTCCCGCTCTTGCCATGCTATCCTTTTCTTGAAGTGCTATCTGGGGTCTATGCCGGTATAATTTTAAATTTAGTCTAAAACTGTTTTTGAGGCTTGCTTGAGCACTTGGTTTGGACATTGCATTCATTGCAGATGAGGATGCCATTTTGCATATTTCACGGTCCCATAGGTCCCCGATTCCAGCACCCATACAGGGCTAGACATATATATATATATTGTTACGCTCATTGTTTTTTGCCCGTGCTGCATTCATCTGGGTCCAAATTCAGAATATATTTGACCAAAAATTTGAAAACAATACTTGCAGCATGGTGAAATTGAAGAACCATGAACTGGTGTAACCTCACAGGGAATGACATCTTGTTGCATTTGGGCATCCGACTGCGAGGAACTTTGAGCCGACAGTCAAGAAGAGGGGTCCTAGCGCTGCTCTTCGAAGACATGTGTGCTTGCCTCAAACATGGCCTTGGAGAACCTGAAAGAGATGTCATGGAAAGCCTTTTGGTGCGATCGTTTCGTATCAAGTCGCAAGATGTTTGCGACGGTTGCGTTTCTGTTGCTTGGCTAGTGGGCCAGAGGCTCTAGGCGGAAAGCACAACGTTGCGGCATCCAGCTGTCAACTTCCACCATTGTTCATCATTTTTCCCTCTGAAACTTAAGAGCCGTGTAAGCTCGGATTAGATGTAGTGCCTGCATTACTATTCAGCCTTTTCATTCCTTTGATTTTCTGGAAGGGCATTAGGGTAGGTTAGATGGACAGGTGACTGTAGACTAGAACTACAGATGGAGAGTTGAACACCCAATTTGACAGGCAGGCACACGCAGGTGGAAACACCAGAGTCAAATGATCTTAAACACCCAGTGAAGAAAGATGCAAATATACAGCAGGAGAGAGACGGAGCAACAGGGAGAGCAAGCATGAACGGAAAGGTAGGTAGATAGACAGGTGACAGGTTGGTACATCAAACAATTTGCTGGCGTCCGTGAGTCAGATCTAGATTGTAACATTGAGTCTGTGCAACTGAGACCGAGTGCATTTAAAGCCTCGTCCAATTGGAGCTCGATTAGAATTCTGCATTGAAGACATATCCACAGGCGTTCTGTTCCTTCCAATTTCTATCAGGAAGGCCAGGAGCAACAATTGTCACGGGGACCAAACTCTTTACTGTACTAATTTAGAGGATACTATTGTTTTTGCTGTTTATGTGCATGCTAACCATGAGTGGGGAACGGAAGATACATGCTGGCGCATACAGGCAAGGGATGATAAGGGATGCATGTGCATTTGAACATGGAGCTCTTCAGGGACGATGCTTTGATACCTGCGAGCCTGTGGGGGAGAGGTCTGGCTAGAATGACTCCAAAAGCCAAACAAACCGTGACAACCGAATTGACAAAATATTTTTCTGTGGAGAAATCAAAAACGTTTTCCCTTATATAAATAACGGACATTAGCTCTGAGCATGCCTGTCATGCCTGAAGGCTGTCCAATATATAGTTTGTCCGGATTTTTGGGCAGGCAGTTTGCTATTTTGGGTTGGAGACTTGGCCACAGCCTTTGGTCACGCGAAGATCTCCAAGGTTTCAGCATATCAGTCCATGCCTTGGAACGGTCTAAAGCAGACCTTGCAAATACAAATGGAACCTGAGACCACAAGGCAAGGCAGAAGGATAAAGGAGGCCATTTTTCCTGCCTCATGTTGGGTCTTAAATAGTCAACCCCGTCCCCCTCCTAGCAAACAATCAAGGGAGTATGAATAGAATCCCCGCCGCAAAAACCATTAGTAGTATTCATTTCAGTAGCAGTAGCAGTTAGGAGGAGTAGTAGTAGTAGTAGTCGTCGTCGTCGTCGTCGTGGTCGTGGTCGTTGCAGTAGTAGGAGCAGCAGCAGCAGTAGCAGTAGCAGTACTACCTTGAGTCTCCAAAGACCTGTTTTTTCTGCATGTTTGTTTTGGGTCTAATATTTTTGCGTTTTTGCCCGAAAAATGCGTTTTCAGAGATGAGGGCTCAAGAAAAGGTACAATGTGAATCTTCATGCGGACGCTTAAAGACGCCTTTTGGACACAAAAAGACGCGTTTTGGACGCCGAAAAAAGGTCTCAGGACACTGTCTAAGGAGGATCTGACAGGGCACAAACAAAAAAGGAACATTTCGTGACATATGCAAAAAAGAGTGCTTTCTTTCAAAAACATCTTTTTCTTGGAAGGGCAAAATTAAAAGGGTCATTGGAGACTCAAGGTAGCAGTAGTAGTAGTACTAGTAGTACTAGTAGTCGTAGTAGTAGAAGTCGGACTTGAAAGGGCAGCAATAGCAGAACAATAGTAAAGTTAGTTCCCCAAACAGTGTGGACGCACTAAGGGGTTCTTGCGGTAGTAGAAAAGCAGCTGATGCTTAGATCGCTGAAGCGCGCGGCCGTGGACGGCTACTCAGCTGCTATTCACAGTACATTCATACCTCTCGAAATCGTCGAAGTGCATTTCGACTGCGCAGGCTCGCTGAATCTGGGTGTCTGCGGCGGGTGCTTCTAACGACTGCGCTCTCGTTGTGGTGCCGTGCGCGTTTTCGCACATGGTGGTCACTTTTCGTGGCAGGCGCAAGGGAAACCTTGTGTTTTGGCGCCTCAAAGTCGACTTTTCGTGACAGGTGCAAGGGATCGGAGCAATTTTAATTCGAACTGCAGTTTTCGTGGCAGGTGCAGCACTTTCGACATGATGGTGATCGTCGAGGGGCTCAGATTTCGTGACAGGTGCAGTGAATCGTGACTTTTGGACATGTGGCTCATTTGCAGATGTCGTGGCAGGCACAGCGCTCTGTGTCCCTCGATGTGCAGATTTCGAGGCAGGTGCAGCACTTTGTGAACCTCGAAGTGCTGATTTCGTGGCAGGTACAGCACTTTGTGAACCTCGAAGTGCAAATTTCGTGGCAGGCACAGCACTCTGTGTCCCTCGATGTGCAGATTTCGAGGCAGGTGCAGCGCTTTGTTAACCTCGAAGTGCTGAGTTCGTGGCCGGTACAGCACTTTGTGAACCTCAAAGTGCAAATTTCGTGGCAGGCGCAGCACTTTGTCAACCTCGAAGTGCAGACTGCGTGGCAGGCACAGCACTTTGCGAACCTTGAAGTGCAGATTTCGTGGCAGGCGCAGCGCTTGGTGAACGTCGAGGTGCAGATGTCGTGGCAGGCACAGCACTTTGTGCACCTCAAAGTGCTGATTTCGTGGCAGGCACAGCGCTAGGTGAACCTCGAAGTGCAGATTTCGGGGCAGGCGCAGCACTTGGTGAACCTCGAAGTGCAGATTTCGGCAGGCGCAGTACTTTGTGAACGTGGAAGTGCAGATTTGCTCTCAGATGCTCACTCTCTCACTCTCTCCCTCACTCTTCGCTCACACTCACTCTCATCCACCCTCACTCTCACTCACACCCACATTCACATTCACATTCACACTCACGCTCACTCACACTCACTCACACTCGCACTGACACACTGACACTCACTCTCACTCTCACTCTGGGCCGGTGTAGTACCCCTTGAAAAACCTGTTTGGAGCAATGAACTCGTTGAGTTTTAATGAGCGTTTTGAAACCGATTTCCAGGTCAGAATTCCATGAATCAAGCAAACCTCAGGAGAGTCAAGTAAGGGAGCAGTAGCAGAACAATAGAAAAACAAACAACCCCCCCCAAAAAAACCTGAATGAAAACACATTTTCCCCTCCCACTAAACTATTCAGGGTGTTGGAATAATTTGGCGAACACTTTTATTATTCCCTCCCACTTGACTCATTAGGATCCGACATTCCCTTGAACCCTTTGATCTTTTTTTTGTTTCTTGACTTTGGGAGTGTTATCTTTCCAAAAGACACGTGTTGGCGGTCATATTGTCGTGTTTTTTTCTTGTGATTGTCGTTGCTGCAAAACAAACAAGGCGATGGCTCCGAGAACTTCAACAGCAGATGCGAGAAGATCGCGATCAGGCAGCGACGTTCCGTTTTGCAATGCGAAGGAAGTCTCTCCTCCACAGTTTCGGTCGGAAGTCTTCTGATGTTTATGCGAGGAAGTGCAACGGATGCAGTGCTAGATGCTTCTTTGATCAGTGTCCTGAGGGTTTGCAGACGCTGGCAGCTGAAACTTTTTTGGTCCTTCGCTGGACCTGGCAGGCTGAACAGGAAGGGCAGGATGAGGAAGAGAAGAGGCAGAAGATGAAAGCAGCTTTTGACAAGTGTCGTGCTCAATATGCAGATCATGGAGGGGTAAGCGGCTAAGCGAGGCTCCAGGACTCATTTTTGCTGCTATCATCCCGAGGCATAGAAAAGCAGTCCGTGATATGATGAAGGAAAGAGATGATAAGCAAAAGGAGGAGAATCAGTCTGAAAATATGACACCCTCATTTTGAATTTGATTGAATTACCTCCTAGGAACGTTTGTGTATTTCTCCAGAGAGAGAGAGAGAGAGATAGCCTTTTGCTGGCACGCCTGGTGTTGAGAAGTTTGGCCTGGACGAGAACCTAGCACAGAGTGCGTTGGAAGTGAACGTAAAGAAAAGATAGAGATAGATAGATAGATAGATAGATAGATAGATAGAGAGAGAGAAAGAGAGAGAACTCTTGGCAATCAGATGCAATCAGTCAGCCCCCGAAACACGGGTTGCAGTAAACATCACGATCACTTAACAGGAGGCAGCCGCTGCCCAAGCTGAAAAAGCTGCAAAAGCCGCAGAGGAGCACCGTGGTTGTGAAGCCTGGGACTCCTCAAGATCGCTTGTAAGTATATAATCTGTTCCTGCACCAAGCATGAGAAAAGGATCAAAAGGCACAAAGGTAAAGCCAACCAGGTCTCGTGCACCCTTGCGTTCAGCTTGGTACAGGCGAAGGCAAAGGCAACAGAGAACTCGTGGGGTCCTTGGTTAATGCATCGCTGCAGGCTTTCAGCATGGTTGAACCGCCTATGTTCAGAGAGGACCATCAGTGCGACTGCACCTGAGTGACTGCCAGGGTGCCGCTCTCTGAGATTGCACATGCTGCGGCGATCAGCGCCGTGGATAGACCAGCTCCAAAGGCCAGGACCTGAGACTCTCGTGTTTTCTCGTGTTTTCCCGAGGTGTCGGCCCTAGTGTTTCTTGTATTTCTGTTCACTTTTCCCTGACACTAGGTGTCCAAGCCTCTCTGGGCTATGACAGAGCAGGCTTGGTGAAAGCATGGACATGTGACAAGATATGTTAAGATATTTGGATGCCTTTAGCATTTGTGTGCGAGGAAAAGGATCACTTTGAGGAGGAGGAGGCCGACGACCTCATCAACTTTGTTGAACATCTTGATTTTGACAAGTATGCCGATGGCCAAGAGCTTCAGTCATTTCCAAGACAGGCAGGATGAACGGCACATGTGTTTGGATGTTTGCTGATTTTCTACTCGTTTTGTTGGGTCTCTTGTTCCTCTGAGGTTGGAGACTTGGAATTTCGGCAGGCGTTGGGAGTGGAAGCCCTAGGAGGAGACTGGACTGTAGGACCGGACTGCAAAAATGCCCAATGAGATGAGGCTCTGAAAGACCGCACTGGGAAGTTGAAGAAGGAACAGGACGCGCGGCTTGGCATCCGAAGATTACTTGGAGAGGCAAAGACTCAAAGTTGCTACTTCCCAGGTTTAAGGATGAGCTCCTGGCCAATTTCAACGTTAGCTACGATGATGAGGATGAGGCGGGAGGCCAACTTCGAATTTGGAAGCCAGTCTCAGAGAAGCCAGTCTCAGGCAAGCACTGCAGCTGGCAGTGCTAAGCTGGAGGACTGAGTTCCGAGTTGCTACGGGGTCCTCGGATTGGAGCGGCAGCTTCAAAAGCGTAGCATAGCGTAGCAACATAGAAACTGCGGCAGGAGGGCGTGGACGGTCAGAGCATCTTTGGTGACCTCAAGAGCGAGTATAGTGTCGCATCCAGCAGACGATCCAGGCATTCGGGGGACCAACAGAACAGGCCGCTCGGTTCACTCATGCCGTCATTAGCATTTTGCTCAGTAGGAGAGAAGATCGAGAAAATGGGCAGAAAGACTGGGTCGGCGTCCCAGCTCTACAATGAGGTAGTTAACAGATGTTAACAGCGTGACACTCAGACAGCAAACGTTGAGTCTCAAAGTCTTTGGACGTCGCACCAGCAACCCTGTCGGATAGGTTGCTGTATTGTAACCACCGAGAGTGGCACTCTGAGGACCACTCAACCAACCCAGATGAACGACCTGTTGTAGATCAAGAGGTCAAAGACATGGCTGAGGCCACCAGGACTCTCCCAGAGTCCTTAATGAGTGCTGGCCGGGTGCCGGGTATGGGCCAGGCGGTCTTGGAGCAGAACCCCAAGTTTAGAGCGATCCATTCTGGGGCTTCTGTCCAGAAGATCATCGAGAAGGCACCGATGGAACTCGGATCTCGGATTTGCCGATCCTCAAGGTTAGCCATGTTTAGGTGCAGAGAGAACCGGCAGCAGAAATCAAATTAGTCAGAGCCTTGGAAGGTGCAAAGCAGATCATGGCTGGTAGAGCTGATTCATGCAACAGCTTGCTCATCAGAATCATTGGTTTACCAAGGTTGATCACATGCGCCTTGAAGGTTGACCGGGCAGCTTTAGCAACCTTCAGGGGTTCTTAGTTTCTACGTCCCAACGTGTGGACATAATTAAGTGAGCTCAAGTTTTAGGCCGCAAAAGGCACCCTTTCGTTTCACTGCAATAACCCTACCGCTGTGAATCTATTTTCTTCCCGCCAGCTCCCTGCCCTGTGCCGGTGATCACTGCGTCTTCGGACACACAAACTCGGCTTTTCAAGCCTGCAGAGAACTGAGTTCAGCACAGTCGGGCTGTTGGTGCCAAGTGCTCTGTGAGCCTTCCGAGCTCTGTCAATGGATTGGAAGGTTCGTTCGGTAACATCTTGCTTGATTTCTGAGGTTGACCCATCAATGCTCCCGTACCTGTACCGTCCCCAGCCATTTGACGTTGAGGACGGGCCTTCTAATTTGGGGCGGGGTGTGAAAACCCCATCCTGAAACTGAAACTAGTCTACGTCCTGCCACTACAGCTGTAAGAACTGGATATGAAAAGGTACACACTCTACAGACAAGTCTAGTTTTCCCAGAGTGCAGACTTGAAGGATATCGTGATGTGCATGCAGCATGCATATATATATATATATAGTTTTTTTTCTCTCGCTGTGTCAGAGGCTGATGACTCTCTGTGTGAAGCATCGCGCGAAGCGCCACTTGGCGAAGATGTCACCCAGCCGCTTCTGGCCACACTTTTGCTATATGGTGGAACCCTCCTTTGTGTCTTATCAAGCCAAGTATAGTCGCGTGCTTGCATGGCTCACAACGACATCTACCATCTAACATCTAATCATTTGTTCATGGCGTATCGTCTTTGTATGGCGTTCGGGGAGCTCAACAGCAATGCATTGTCCATGTTCGATCGATGGGTCGTTGACACCTGAGACCTGAGGCGCAGCACGGTGAGCTGTTCAAAGAACAAAGTCAGCGAACGGGTCAGCTGGTACTTTAACGAACATGATGAGCACGATCAAAGTGTGCTCCACGTACTCTTGTTTGGCAGAATCATGCGTAATTTGCTGAGCTGTTTGGCAACCAGAGCACCGGTTGGTTCTGTCGGTCGGTTTCACTAATTCGCGAACTGAGCGAGCACCAGCTTTGGAGCAAAGTCACTAAAAAGGATGGTAACGCTTCTCACAGAATAGCGCCCTCTCATGGAGTTTCGCCTTTTCAAGACGTGAGCCAGGGTTCGTGGTGCAACCGGGAGTTGTGCGCATCTTGTTCTGGATGGTTCGCATCCTCGCCCTATGGTTACAGCTGAGGAACAGGTCAGCTTTCAGATTCAGACTTCAGATGGAAAAGGTTGATCAGTGCTTTACATCAAATGACTCACAGCAAAACAGAGCTGGTCGATTGCATCAACTCCATAATGGTCTTTGACCAATTTCAATCAGCTAGCATTATCACCAGCATGTAGCAGTAGAATTTTCTACCCCTGTTGTCAAGCATACACCGTCACGCACCCATCAAATCATCAACCATGCAACGGCTCGTTGCAAAGTGATCCTTTGGCCACTGGGTGGTTTGCGCAGCCGCTGCAGGATCCTTATCGCCTCTATAGACTCTATCCCATCCGAATCGCCTGAGATGGTTTGATCCAAGGTTCTGGGTTGTGCCCAACTCGTATGGAGGCAAGTCCGATGCAGAAGGTGTCCATTCCATTTTTGATACTCTGACAACGAAAGAACATCTCTGAACATTGTGAACCTCCGAGGCTTGAGAATATGGGTGACCCTGGGGTCTTTGCAGATTTCAAACCACATTTTTGTTGACATGATGTATGTCTCCATGGCATCCTATGACAGTCCTATGAGCTGAAGTTGCAATCAAAGCACTTGATTCAGGCAACTGTGCGGCTTTTGGACAATGAGCCAAATATCACAGTTCAGGCCCTCTGGGCACCGGCAAACCAAGCAGACACTTGGAATTCCCATGTGAATTCTCATGAATTTGTTCCTCCATTTGGGTTGGAGGCCATCGCTATTAGGTTGGAGGCCGTCGCTATTAGGTTGGAAGCCATCGCTATTAGGTTGGAGGCCATCGCTACTAGGTTGCAAGCCATTGCTATTAGGTTGGAAGCCATCGCTATTCGGTTGGAGGCCATCACTATTTATTAGGGGAGGTTGGCAAAAACACACATGTAATTCAAATAGCTTCGCCTTCTTGGCTGCTTGGCCCGGTCCTTCGGTAACCCTTGGCCAGGTGCAGTGGCGCGGAGCCGAGCTGAACCTGCTGAGATCTCGCGAGGCCCGGCGCGGACGATCGTCCGACATCGTCTCCTTTCGTGTGGTGCGGGTCAAACGGTCTGGCAGTGGACTGGCCTCACTCTGGAAGTCTTGGGGAAACCTGTGAAAAATTGAGTGTGGGCTCCAAGGAAGCAGTGTTTCTTTTGTAAGGCCGAGGCTTTCGGCCTTTTGCAACGGCCGGTTTACTCCGAAGAGTAGGTCGTTTTGGGGGGACAGCAAGAGACCAAGCTCAGAACAGGTCCGTGAGCTTTTCTTCATCCGCAGGAACCCGTGGAGCGTTTCCTCCAACGACTTGGCCTCAGTTGTGGCCTTAGAGGTTGGTCAGATCTCAGCGCTTTTGTTTCATGAGTGGGTGGACATGGTGGACTGGAATCATGTCCAGCGGAGCATTTCAGAGATGCGTCTTTCGAGATGCACGTGACAGCCAGTGGATGAGCTATGGTTTTGAGAGTTGGTCCAGGCTGTAGCAAACAAGCAAGCAGACTACTCAGTGGCCCAGCCTGGGACCTGGTGGCCAGTTGTTTAAAGCCGATCCTTCCACAACTAGACTTGCACTTTCTCTATTCAAGACCGATTGGTGCCAAGGATAAGAAGAAGGCTAAGAAGGCTGATTCGTGATGCATCAGCAGTTTAGCCAAAAATCCAGTGGCAGCCAGGAGATACAACAGAAGCAAAAGAAACCAAAGACTGGAGCAGAGGCTAGGGGCTAGCTTGCACCAATCGATTTCAATCTGCTCAGCTATTTGGGACTCCACCAACAATTGCTGGCTTTGAAACTCTTGAGAGCAGAAACATGCGGAGACCACATCTGCAAGGGCCAAGATGCACTGGCTTGAGATTGGTTACTGTCTCAGGCAGGTGCCACCAATACTGGTGCTGTAACTGCTGGCACCTCAAGTTAGATTCAATCTCCCAGTTGCAGACTAGATGAGCTCTTCAATCTTCCATGCATCAGATGTTGAGTGTTTGACTTCTGAAGGTTGCCCTCTTTGCCAACGATGAGAAAGTCGCTGTTGGTACGCCCGTGGCAGAGGCCGAGTAGCAAACCATGAACAAGTGATAGCATTTATATGCATTTATAGAATATGACAAGAAGCTACTAGGAGCAAAGGGCATCGCTACTAGGAGCAAAGGGCATCGCTACTAGGAGCAAGGGCTCCTGACATCGCTACTAGGAGCAAGGACGCTACTAGGGGCTCCTGGCCTTACTACTAGTAGTTATATAATATATAAAGACCTCCACGACCTCCAGGGTTTGCTAACATTTGCGAACATTGATTGACACTCATTCTAGTCCTGCCTGACAGCACAAGTGCTTTGATGAGGCTCTTCGGCGTGCGTCCCACATGGAGATTGAGGCTAGAGTGTTGAGACACTGACGAATGCGCTGGTCCAATGTGGGTGTGTCTCAAAATAGGGATGATGACTGTATACATATTATACATATATATATATATGGTCACCCCCCCACGACCCCCCAACATACTGTTTGTACTGGTATAACATCTCTATTTGTCCTGTTCATTTTTTGGTTGTTTATGCACACCTACTCAAGTATATTACACTACATACGTGTTTATACATACTTGTCATCAATTTCTCTATACATCGTCTATTGGTTTTCTTCTTATAGATTACCAAAACCCAAAACCAGAAACCGAAACAAACAGAACTTAGAGGAGAATCTTTGGTTTTCTTCATCAAACGAGAAAACACTTGCTGCAAGTCTTTCTGTCATGCAACCTGCTGAAAACAAAAACCAATGTTCCGCAAGTCTTCCTGTCATGCAACCTTCTGACCAGGAGTCTCTAACTCTGGATATTTATTGTTATTTGTTGATTTTTGTTGATGTACAGTATTTATTTATTTGTGTTACTTTGTTAAATAGCACGTTTTGTTTTTTGATTGTCTTTCAGTTTGATTTTGTTTTTTTAAAGTTCTTTTGTGTTTTCTTAAGCTGTGCAATGCAAGCAATGCAACAGCTTATGTTCATACAACTTTCATTTGCAAGACTCTCCTCTGCATATGTGGTCGTCAACACATTTGTTCAGTCTTTCACAACTGTGTTAGCTTGTCACCTCCACCTGCATCCTCCTTTAGTATGGCCAACATGGACTTGACCTTCGTAGAGTCCTTGAGGCACCAGCGCGGTGAGCGAGATGGTGTTTTGTCCTTCGAGGAAGCCTGCATGCACGTGAATGGCATGAAGGTTGTCGGTCCTCAAGTAATTACTACAGGGGGAGGCAGAACGCGAAGATGATTGAGTACTGGCCGTTAAGAAAGAAAAGGTTTTTCAGGCACTCAAGCAGCTGAAGCGCTAGCCAGTCTCATCGAGCTCGACTCATCCTTCCGCCAAGCGGGTTCAGCGGGTCGCTTCATGCAGCTCGGTTACCCACAAACACGGCATTCAACCTTCAATGGCACATGCAACCCAGCACACAGGCTATATGCGCAGTCTCAGTCCTCTACCAGTCGCAGTTCCTAAACTTAAACATAGTGTTGACTTGGCACCTCCTGGGCATGTACAAATCTAGAAGGGAGGTATGTTGTCATCTTCGGGGGGTCTTTGGAGGGTGTGTGTGCATGCATGTAAGTATATAATGTAATGTAATGCAATGTAATGCAATATATGTGCGTAAGTAATGTATGTACGTATGTACGTATGTATGTATGAATGAATGAATGAATGAATGAGTGTTATGTATGTTATGTTATGTTATTATGTTATGCTATGCTATGCTATGTTATGTTATGTTATGTTAGTATGTATGTATGTATGTGATGTAATGTAATGTAATGTAATGTAATGTAATGCAATGCAATGCAATGCAATGCAATGCAATGCAATGTATGTATGTATGTATGTATGTGTGTATGTGTGTATGTGTGTATGTGTGTATGTGTGTGTGTATGTAATGTAATGTAATGTAATGTAATGTAATGTAATGTAATGTAATGTAATGTAATGTAATGTATGTATGTATGTATGTATGTATGTGTGTATGTGTGTGTGTATGTAATGTAATGTAATGTTATTGTATGGTATGGTATGGTATGGTATGGTATGGTATGGTGTTGTTATTGTTGGTATGTATGTATGTATGGTATGGTATGTTATGTTATGTTATGTTATGGTATGTATGTATGTAATGTAATGTAATGTAATGTAATGTAATGTAATGTAATGGTATGTATGGTATGTATGGTGTGTATGGTATGTATGCATGGTATGGTATGGTATGTTATGTTATGGTATGTATGTATGTATGTAATGTAATGTAATGTAATGGTATGGTATGGTATGGTATGGTATGGTATGGTATGGTATGGTATGTATGTATGTATGTATGTATGTATGTATGTATGTATGTGTGAAAACCAGTCATGCCTTGCATGTTCATGACATGTCTTTGATGATTGTATCCGCGATCCTTTGGACCACAGGGCCCTTGATGCCATATGACGGCATTCGGATATCGCATGGAGGAGAAACGTTGAGCGGTGCGGCGGATTCCTTTCGTCGGTTGTTGGATTGGAGGTTGAGGAGCATTTTCCTTTGTTGGTTGACACCCTGCTTTGCTACCAGTTCCGCATGGTAGCGGAGCTACCTCGGTAGCATCCGTGCGTCGAGTTGATCTGGGCGTGTTGATTGGCCATCTGGCCGTGGTGCATTGCAAGCAGTGTTGACAGTGATTTCACTGTGGTCTATCGTGACCATACAACTTCCCTCACGACTGCGTTTGTTCGCTACACTTGCAACTTTCACTTCCATCTCACACCACCATGACAAGCAAAGATGCCTTCTGTGATTTGCAGTTCGATGGCTATCGTGACTTTCGAAGGAAAGCCATCCTGGCCGTTGCAGGCCAA